AGATAAAACGCGCCTTCTGAATTCCACTGCTAGCCACAATCCAAACTATCAGGAAACTCCACTCAGAATAAGCATGTACCCATCAAGACTAATCAATTACCTACACATAATTCCCTTTATCATTTTGAAAAGAGCTAAATTGTTTGATCAATTACCGTTTTAAATATCAAAAACGGGTTAACTCAAACGCTTACATACATAAGGCTAATAGCATTCAAAATGTATGTTTGTGAAAATCGTTGTTAAATATTTATAATTACTTCTTAAAAGCATAATGTATTATGCGTATTGTTAATATTTCTATTTCATCTCTCTTCGTTCCTAATACAATTCTAATAAAATACTAGGATGAAATGTGTTGTACAGCTCAAGTACTATTGCGAATTCTTAATTACGAAGATTACCCATCATTATTCACTCATACTGATTTGGATGATACATCAAGAGGTTTGTTTTACCTATATGTCGTTGTTCTTTTAGTGATGTTTCTTATTTTTAGTTCCAATTACTACAGAATTTTTCGTGATTGACACCACGATATCGGTTCATCTTAAGAACAATGTGTTTTAAGCTATTGATGTAAGGATAACAATGCTGTTAGGTATTACTCAGTATTGTGTTTAAATTCTTGTGCTCTGATCACTCTGAAATTCATTAATTCACTTAACAGTTAACTAACTAAGCCGCCTGATGTCCAGATCAGAAACATTTGGAAATAACCAGAGGAATAATTAAGAACCACTGAATTAGTAAAAGGGGAAACCAAGTAGGAATTTTTTATGTACTTTTTGAAGAAGTGACTTACATTGAGTCACGAAACGTCAGAAAATTTAATTTTTATACATTGGGGTATTACAAATATATTATTCATTTATAACAATCTACCTAATGCTCAATTTATTCGAAATTATCAAATCAAACCATGGTAATGATACATACAAGTCGGAGTCAGGTTGTACATGTAGATTAGGAAAAATGACTCATAATAATAAAGCGATCTCTAATCACCAATCTTCAAAATAAACTGTTTTTAAATAAATGGTTTGAGTCTATTTAATCCATTTTGAACTGCCGAAATTTCTTTTGGGAATTCGATATCAAAATTCAGAGCAGTATAAACATTAAAGTATTAGATAATATTCAGGATAAGGAAGATTCTTCACATTAAACTTATCAGAATTACTTATAACCCGGGAATATCTATAGCCGAAGACTAGTGTAAAACATAATTTTTGACTTGTGTATTGTTTTAATGTATTTGGTCTCTTGGTTGTATTCAAATGTGCATAAAGTGGTCCGTAATTCAATTAAAGAATAAGAATGATTTAACTCAGTCAGAACTTTGTTTGATACATGATAGCAAATGTTACCGACCCATACGAAATTTAATGACTGTCAACATTAACAACTATATAAAGAAATAGCTGTTTACTGAGTGTAATAATGAAATAACCACCAAGAAGAATAAAATGTTAGTAGATACCTAATATGTATCTTATTTAAAAAACTAACAACTTCGTAGTAGTAGTAGTAGTAGTAGCTTCGCAAGTCCTTCTGATTTTTAGCATTTATTTGTCATACACCTCTCAGTCCCGTTCACAGTTTGTTCACAAGTATAAATGCCTTCATGCAGTATGCGGTTGGGTGTATTAAGTGCATGAGGTTGCTAGATTTTGTGTTAATAGTTTTTTTATTGAACAATGTCCCTCTCACATTTAATTGGCTAATTTTAAAATAACTACTTTGTTGTTCGTTGATATACTTTATGTCTGCCCGGTTATTTTTGTCCTCGTTTCTGCTAAGTACCGTTTGTTGTTGCTTAGCCTACTGCTTTCAATGTGAGTTTATAATGTAAGCTAATTGTTGTTTACTGTTGAACCATTCATTCAGTTATACATAAACATATTTTATATACAGATTTCCTAGAATCCAAGACAATCTTCTGGCTTTAGTCGACCTCGCGTGACTAAGATTGCTGTTTTACCTTTAATTCACTGATATATAGAGGGTGCTAAGCTTATAGATTGTCCATCACCTATTGAAATATATCCATTGTCATGTTATAAAACAATGTACCATTGTTCAATATACATCAGTATTGACAAATTTTACATTAATTTAACTTGAAATCTTTTTATGCTTCCCTATAGAAGAACTATTAAAGGTCGCCACAAAATCAATTGATAATCTGAGTATTTTAGAGTGGCCCGAACCAGTTGCATTGCATTCACAACAGATAACAGAAAATGGTAAAATAAAATTTGATTAGACAGACAAAAAATCAAATACATTTGTTTTTTTTAAAAATCAAGTTGCATTTTCTGAGTTTATTCAATGAAGAGATGGTTTTATGAAGGTATGTTTTTCTCAAAATTCTCGTTTAGAAGCTTACTTGAGTCCATGTGTTATAATTCTCTCCTATTATAACCCAGCTACTCCTATTGCGTAATATTCTCGGACACCAATTCACTAGACAAGTCCCCATTTCAGAACACGTTTGAACAAGAAAGATTATATTCTAAATAACAAGCACGATAGGAAAAACGTTAGTATATTTATAGTTTTTACATGAGAAGATCCTAGAGTATTCTTCAAGTATCGACTAGCGCTAATTGTATGAGAATTCGCCAACCAGCGTGCACCAACACAGTCGTGCAGTGAGCATGCTTTCAGTCATTCAGCTACAACGTAGGATCAGACACACATGCATCGGTCCAAGTCGCCATTACCTCATTAGCACAACAAGATGAACACCGGATTCATAGTAGTGGTTAATTCAGTGGTGGTAATATATAAAAGAAAGATTGTGTATAAGGATATGGTACAGGAAGAAAGAATTAGTTGATAGAAAGGAAGATACGGGAAGACAAAGAGTGTATACACCCACGCAGATGTGATCGATTCTGAGCCATGTCATCCACAGTCTCCAACCATTGATCACGACAGTCCCGCGTACCCCAACCAAGTAGTCTGCATCTACCAACATGGCTCAGACCAAAAGTTGGTGACTTCAAGTACTGATGCCGCGTTTTGGTTTGGCCGCCCCTAACTTTCTTCAAACTATGCCCAACACCATTTAGCATTGTGCATCGTGGTAATCGGTGTTCAGGCATACGTAACACGTGGCCCAACCATCTCAATCGATGAAGATTTACAACCTCATCAACTGATTTACTCATCACCTAATACTCTATGTCTAACCTCAGTATTAATTACCCGTTGATCCCGACAGACGCGAACATTCCTTAGTCTAATCTATGTCCCGCTAGGACCATGATACCAAGTAAAGAGTGAAGAAATCTAATTCTAAATATAAAAAACTAGAAGATATGTGCTTTTAATACTAATGTCGTCTTTGTTTATCAAGATAATGGTTATCACGACCTTGATACTCGGAACAGATAATGCTCTGGTGTATGAATATGTGAATACTGCCTTTGAGTCTCAGTGAGTCACATATTTACTCTTGGATACAAGTATATTTAGCTCACGCGTTTGTCTCTTTTGTTAAATAAAATTTTCAGTGATATTCCTCTGTCTGAATAGTATTAAATGATGGGTTTGTAGTTGAAACACTCAATATTGAACCACCATTAGACTGTAAATCCACGCTAGGCTTCACCAAGTTATGGATAATGCGTTAAATAGCCTACTTTCCTGTAGAACATTGCAGACACGAACAAATAAACGACGAGAGTCCAAACATTTTGCGCTTATTACTCCTACTGTCGTTACTTCATTATTTGTTGCTGCTACGTTTGAGGGGATTACGATATCACCTAGGAACGGCTAACAGAACGAAAGTTAGCGACACAATAACAGGACAAGCTGAGCTATTTCACAGCACGTCAGCTCTGTTAACTAGAGGAAGGAAACGAGATTCAGTCGGGAAAATATATTCCACAACGAGCGGACGAACGAATGCGCACACAACTTTTGCGTTTATATACAGCAAGAAAATGTCACAAAATAACGTACTAAGAGTGGCGACGAACTAATCAATCTAAACTGCAGCGAAAATGGGCAATTCAGATTTCCATAACGAAGTTGCAAAATGAGGTGTGTACCAAGTAATTTCTGGGGATCTAGCACCCCCAACAATCACCAAACCATTGACATATCATTTTTTTACAGTTTGTCTGCAAATGTAGAAATCTTGTTGTTTGTTCAGTCAGAACTTTCTCGCTTTACGTAGACGAAGAAAATTGGGATTATCATAGATATAGCATCTGTTGAGACGATTTTGTACAAAAAAAAATACTAAGGCAGGTTTTCTTTTAATATCGTACAAATTAAGGAAACTGTTTACCAAATTCAATACATCACAGGTTACAGAGAATATGTATTACTAAACATCACGTACTTGCCGCACATTCAAGTGAAAGTCAAATACATTTGAGAAATTACAATCACTAAAAAAGCAATGCTATTTTATGTATGAGCCTTGTAAGTGCGACTCAAAATTTACAATAAATCCAGAGGTACATTTGATAAAGGCATGACACTACTAAATATCTATCATTATGATGGGGGTTTGCTTGTTCCATTTTAGGATGTCCTTCTACTATCCCGGTAAATATAACTCTTGGTCTTTGTTTGATACATCACTACATTTATCGCAAAGACGTTTTAATTATCGTACTCTGCACGTTATAATTAAGTGTTATACACCTCTTGTTTATTTGCGCATATCCTGTCAACGTTTCACAAGCTTGTATTGTTAACACTCAAACCATGTGACCTAGTATCATAGTTCTCTTACTGCATCATCATCATGTTTATCTACATTTCCCCACACGATTTCATGTTTACGTGACCTAATCGCTGTATAATAAATTAGACGATCGAATATTTCCACGGGATTTTGTGGTTTTATAAATTTGGTTATGGGTATTGCCATCAATGCTAACCATGTAGATGTGTTCCTAGAATTCGATTTCCACGTTTGTCTGCCTACCGGCCACACTCAAATAAGAAATAGCGCTCTGTGGTAATTCTTTGCGTCCAGAATTTTTATTTAGTTAAATTGACTTAAAGAACACAGTACGCGATCATTGCATAAAAATAACTTGAAACATAAATCTTAACCATAATGAAAGTATAAATAGTTTTTAAAAATAAAAAACTGGAATATTTTTCTCGTTTGCATACTAAAAAAGGCCTAAACTGAAGAAATGTTGAGCATAAATATTATTGTTTGTCGATGAAGAAACGAAGATGGGTTATTTCCTACGTAGTAGCCAATTATAATAGGAAGACATGAACCAATTTATGTATTATTTCGTTGAACTACTTAAATAAGATACGAGTAAGTGGGTTGATTATAGGAAGGGAAATCACCTATCCCCGGTTGGCCTTAACCATCACCTATGGTATGTAATTATAGTTTTTTCGAAACTCTGTATTATACGTTAGATAGGAATTGATGAAAGATCAAAAGAAAAACAAGTGAATTCATCAAGATCTTCCAATCAAATTACTAGAAGGTTAATGTAGTTTTTTTTTTAAAAATAAATAAAAGTTTTCGAAAATTCCACTCTGAGTGGAAGTGTAGATATAACTGGGTTAAAATCAGATATCACAATTTCAAAAGAGAACACATATATGATAAAGTGAATTTGATTATGTCCGTTATGCATATTCAGATCATAAAACCTATTTTATTTCTGGATAAAAACAAAGACAAGAGAATAAAGTGCATTTTTCTGTTGCAGAATTTTCGTTTAAAATAGGTTCTTTCTTATATGGAAGATTAAATGGACGTTCATTAAAGTTTAACAAATTATTGTCAGTTTTATCTTAAATATAAGCTTAAAGTAAAATAGCAATTAAGAGTGGATTTTAAAATTATCAATAAAGGGTTCTGTAACGACCATTTAAACTCCAACCATTTTCCTCGCCAAAAGTGGCTAAAATTGTATTAAATAAAAAAAAGAACAATCAATATGGTTAAACGTTTTAACAAGAAAACGAATGAAGTACAAATACAATGTTACTTACTTTATGGTTAGTCTTTTAAAAGTATCTTATCATTTATTGTTATCCTATTACTCACAGTAAAATTAGTGACACTGAATTGATAGGTGAGCTGAGTTCGTACCACATATGGAATATCGTTTCCTCTAAAATCGCGGATATGTCCTACTGACAACTACAAGCTTATACAAATTATATCCAGTCGAAGCATTCTGTCGATTTACTTCCAAACGAAAACAGTGAATGTGATATTGAGTCGCTCAAGCTAATAACCACATTGGAGTTTAATTGATGATATTCGGTTAGTATTAAGGATCCAATCAATATGACACTGATTTCTGATCACCAATCAGTCACTTAGAGTGAATGTTTTGGGAAATCGTCCGTCATGATGTGATAACCTAAAGGAATAATTAGGTGGTCGTAATGCTTTCACAGTTGATGATTTAACGATGTGTTCTTCGTACAATCTCTGGTAATAATCCAGTTAAACCATTGAATAAACCCAGATTCTACGTGAAACTCTTCTCGTTTTCTTAATTTTAAGAAATACTTTCATTCAATGGGATCAAGTGTACGGTTATTTATTGATTCAGTTTGATATTCGTTTTTATTCCTACTAGTTCAGTTATGGCATTCGTTTCATAGTTACTTAAATGATAACTAGTCATCCAAAGTAAATTTTTGTTGAGATATTATTTTAAAAAGAAAATCTAGTACTTTCGATTGTTAAATTGACCTTCACCCATCATTAATGTTTATCTTTTTCCTTTTCTTCAACTGTATGAGTTTTCCTTCAGTCATAACAATGTTCGATTTCGTACAAAATACATTAACCTTATTTTTCATAGTAAATCGTTAATGGGAACTGTACTATCTATAACTATGACATTTATTGCTTTTGAATGCTTCTTTATTTATCACCTGGTATCAGTTTGTGATAAACATAAGTAATCAGTGAAATAATCCCTATTGTAAGCATCAACTTATTAACCAAATAAATATCTGACTGGGCTAATAACTAGTGAACTGAGATTCATGTTCAATGTGTCAGTCCACTACAAAATTTTTCCTTGAAATCGTAGAATTAAAGTTATTGTACAGTCCCTCATACCCATGAATACTCATTCTCATGAGTTTAAAATGTGCGCTTATATCATTTAGCTATCGTCCAGTAATATGAGAACAGTTGAGTTTGGTTTCGTGTCGGTTTAAAGATTCGAATTTGTAGAATCCATAAACAAAGTTTAGACAGGTGTTCACTGATTTATCCCATCCCATATCAATTCATCATAGAAATCAGTCCTCGAACTGTGCAAAAAGAATTCAATACGCAGTATATAATTAAGTTAACCAGGTACATAATGGTCACAAAACTAATAGTTACATTAAATGTAAACCACACTATAATATCAATCAATTTAAACAAAAATGTGGGTCATTAAATTTCCAACTTAATTATTTTGATGATGTCACTCGAGTCACAACACTGTATTCTCGGGCCTATATGTAATACTATGGTCACAAATCACAACGACAAAGTATTCACTACTTTCAGGTATTCAATAGTCTCCCATTTAGTGTCAGATCATAGTTGCCTTAAGATTGTTAAAAAATAATAAATGGATTCAACAAAATTATCGTATCACACGTATAGTGATCATAGACTCACCGGTATAGCATATACAAATAATACTATTAATAAGCCAATGATGAGAATGATCAATAACGCGATAATCACCCATTTCATTTTTTTCCATATAATAAATTTGAATGTTTTCCACGGTGATGTAAACCATAAAAATGACGTTTCTGGACGTCTGAAATCGAAAGAAACAAAAAGTATAACGTTTTCATCACAGGTAGTCTCTTATCTATTTGTGAATTTGTATAAGAGAATTTTAGAATAGTTCCAATTTATCTGTTTATATTCACTTTGAATTTTGTGAAGTTTAATGAGAGATCAAGTATCATTGTAGGATAAATGTTCCCAAATAAATCACTTATAAAACAAATGTTTAATTCAGTCAGTCAACTGATGTGCTCATTTATCCACTTTACTAAACTTCATCTGTTTGCATCCAGTGATTAGATTTTGAACAATTATTCGGAGATCACAACTCATATCAGCTTTTCATTGAAATTTATAATCTACCACAGTCTGGATGCTGTATAGTAGACTTATCTACTTTTATCGTTCTCGCTTTCTTCATCATCTCAATTGGAAAACATTTACTGAAGTTTTAAATAAACAGATTTTTACGTCAATTTTTTATTACAGATTCAGCCAAACATTTGGCAGGTTTAATTTAAATATCTTCATTTGTAGATTGTTATATTTGAGTTGTGAACATTTCAGAAGTCCGAAGAATCGAGTGAAGAACAATCAAAAATTATAGACTAATAGGCGGTTAAAATGTAAACTTAGTTTACTTTTTTGTTCTTATTGCTTTAATCACAGAGTAACTTGTTGAACTACAGAACCACCCAGTTCCCATCAATTGCAAATTGGAGTTTATAATTTTCTCTGGAAGATAATATTCATCACTAAACGTGAACACTTATATAACCATTGAAAGTCAAGGAGAATTACACTGGTATTTCGTCTTGACATAAGGCTCAGTTGTAGTACATCCTGATGGTTACATGTTATTGATTGTTTCATGGTTTTCAGCGCTTATCCAGTTGGTGACCGTTTTTTACAAAAATAGTCCTCAAACTATACACAAGTCTCTATGGAATGTCGTATTACTTATTATTTGTTTAGTTTATTGTAAAAGATGTTGACTGATTTCGAATAGGATAAATAGTTTGTTCAACCAACTTACTTTGGTGGTTCTAAGTGAGGATTTTCATTTGGATCTTCACGTGCTTTACCAGCTGGTCGAAGATCAGCTTCTGCTTTTGTCACCAATTCCATTTCCATTTCGATTTTACCCTTTTGTGAAAAAATGTTATATGATTAGTTGAGGAGCATGAATTATCTCGTCATGAGATTACTTCAGCTGGTCGACTGCTGAGAACTAGGTAGTACTCATCGTAGTCTGATATTCTACATAAATCTGCACTGAAGAGAGTGCCTACGATCGAACTAATTATTTTCAAATCACTAAAGTTGACAATCCTGATCACTGTATTACGCCTTACTTGTTTGTAGATAACGATTTCGCCGCGAGATCTGGAGATTTCAGCCCTGGTAATGATATGAGCGCTTATTTAAGAAGTTCTTCACTAGAAAACGACAACTACCCAGCGTCTCTGTGATGAAAACTGTATCAAAATATAATCCTTTCTATGCTTTATAAGCGTAAAATTTTAAGCATTTTGGAAGCAGATTGAAATATTTGTAAAACGTTTATCTCGAGTGAACTCATTTAATAGTGTTACATTCGAATTATCTGTGTTCGCTTAGTAAGTATAGTATCATTTCATCTTTTGAAATGTTTCACTGTGATTTCCTTTGAGAATCCAAATATTGGGCAAATAGTCGTTGAACAGAATGAAAGCAACAAACTGGATGATAGAGATCACTAAAAATAACTTATGCCGAGCTTTACATCATGATGGATTGCGGTCTAGTTTCCTTGTAGGTGGGCTTTACTTTGAATAGTCTAAAGAACTAGCCATTATATTAACGATATCATTCGACTTGATTTGCTATGGCGACGTTTTTCTACTTACACTCGTCAGGTGTGTGCGCAAAAAATGAATGGTCTTGTTTCATTTGCAATCAGTTTTAATTAGAAATCTGTAAGATAAGAAAAGTGATTAATTAGCCTTAAGTTTCATACTTTAAAAAGTTCATGTTAGATCCTAAAATAACAAATCTTTTTGATGAGCATGTTCATATTACGAGGGATCTAAAGTAATATCCTGAAACCAGTTACTATTGGTTATCATAAGCAAAACTGAAAATGGAGTTACATTGAATAACAAAAGAATAATCAATTAGATTTAGGTATTCTTTCTTCGTTATTTTTTCTATGTAAACGTACAGTTAAAAGTGGAGTTCCACTTTCTTCATTAACAAATGGCCAAAATCCGTTCAGTCGTCGACATTCAAATAGGTTAACCAATTTCGTTTCATTGCCAACGGATTGTAACATGTTCAGTGAACATTTACTACGTGTTTTTGATGGACTAGGCATATTAGATAAATTTAATTCTAATGTCCCAATAAAATCATCCGGTGAAAATAAATCATTATCCCAAACTTGCATTACTAATTGTGGACGAACTCGTTGTTCTGTAACATCCATAGACCAAAAATGTTCCTTACGTTTAACAACGATATTATTTTCAGCTGGTAAGTAAAAAAATGGAAATACGAAACGCCAGTTGAAATTCCCTTCACCGTTTAGCGATCTATAATGAACATCAGTTTTTTGACGATCGTCTAAACCAGATAACCAGCCCTAAAAATAAGGATGAAAAGCATTTAGTATTTGGTAAAAACATTTTTGAACATGTTTCAAAATATGTATTTCAAAAATTAACTGGTCTGTGGCAATGGGAGGATTCATATCAGCGGACTTTACTTATTACTATGAGTACGTTTTTTTGAAGGAATATTCCTTGTTATGTTTACTCGGACGCATTTACTCGTTGTTTACCGTGAATAAAAGATTGACTTATTATGTTTACTTTTTCAATATGTTCCTGCCATCCACGTTAATTTGCGTACCTGACTAGTATCGTTTAGCTCCTATACATAAAGGATATCTGAAATCGCGGTACGCAAACATCGGCTATGTTATTAAAACACTCTGAAAAACAATTATTCTATGGCAATCTACATACAAATCAAACTATACAATTTACTCAAGAGTTCAGAATTTTTTATTCCACAAACACACCACTTAATGTCAAGTAATAAGGCGTGTGAAAACCGCTGAAAGGTGATATTATTTACTAATATGAGTCTAAACTAACTGGTTTCTTACTTACTTTGACATAAATATCAGACATTTGTTCACCAGTTATTGATTTCTCGTCTAATACAACATCGAATGTATTCCATACAACTAAACGTAATATATATTCATTTGGTTCTCTTGGTGAAATATCGAATGGTGGACCAGGTTCACCTAAGGATGTTGGAAATATATCAACCCACATTTGCAATTTACCCTGAAAAAGATATTGTGAGAAAAAAAATACACACATGTCAGCAAGGACTTATTAAAGTTTAGTTCTTAGTGTGAGTCATAGGATAATACAAATATATAAACGAAGAAGCATCTTACCCTCTGAACATGTTAGCTTAAAAGATCACGCACTATAGTCTAAAATGATCGGTACTGTTTTCAAGCCTTGGTATAAACATCAAGATTAAAGTTCAGTCACATCCACCTAATGAGTCACAAATAGGACGAATTAAGTATTTTGAATTCTATTGCTAGCCATATTCGCAACTTACAAAAAGCCTGTAAGCAAAACATTCTGTCGAGAAATCAACAAAGTCTGATTCAAGCCGAAATCAGCAACAGATTAATACGAATCCTTATAATCAAAGTGGGTGCTGCGCAAATTGGTTTTTTTCATTGCTCAAGATTTAGAGGTTACTCAGTGTTATAACGCTTGGTTTTACTTCGTCTAATGTTATAACGGTTGGGTTACCGTGTTAACACGTATGGGACGTTAATTTACCTTAAACGATTATCTACACTAGATTACTTCCCAGTGTCTATTCTACAGGACGTCAGCACAACTCAGATCAAGAACATGTGATTAGCCTGATCACGACGTAAATATATTTCCACACCAAAAACCCGACACCATCCAACAACAATAAACAATCAATAATAAGTGAGTCCCAATAATAATAAGGATAGGGGAATATATAACTCATTTGACACCTGTCAGACTATCTACATGTCTAACTAAGCAAACAACCAATCATTCTCGCCCACACATCACTCAGTTATTCAGAAAATCTTAACACTAAATGTCTTTTTCATTTATTCACCCAATACGCATTTGTGAACGCAGCTTTGATTTGTGCCCTCCTTGTAAGGACTATCAATAATACTTGGTTATTTGATCTGAATTAAGCTGACGAATATTAGAACTTACAGACCAATTATGAATGAAAATGGCTTTAATCAATAAAACATCAATAAGTCATACATCAAAATTTTTGTTAAAACACTTCTGTTGGCTGCTAGATAAGTCTATATATCTTCAAACAAAATGGTATGCTCTTCAGAATATTCCCCGTGTACAAAGCAATCACTTTCAAGTCGGATAGTATTAGTAAATTTAGTGAACGTGTCGAATGTACATTTACTTTAAAAGTCAAAGATATCTGATGCGATTAAACAATTCAAGTCTTATGATAGTTTAGATGATATCTTAAAGTCTAGACATTCTGATAGTTTGACTGAATGATTTGTTTTACATTGACCTAGTCATTCACTTGATTGTTCACTTTATTTTTAATCTCCGTAAGTCAAACAAATGATCTATTGTCTTGCTATCCAAGAAAGGTTTATATAGCTTTTAACTAAATAACACGGTACTATGGTCAAGACTAAGTCATATGTGACTGTTTATTTTCATAAGCTCATTAATGATGTAACAAAGATTCTTCAAAGAAATCGAATTAAAATTGTATTCGTCAACTTGATGGATTTCTTCATATGTGCTGATATGACACAAATAACTTTTCTATTGAATTTCTTGAGCGATATTCTTTTTTCATAAAAGCAGAAAGGTATACAGCACAACATCTAGGTTAGATTTACTTAACACTAACGTTAGGTTAACTACTCACGTCAGATAATACACCATGCAATACCAATTATTAATATAAATTAGAACATCACAATTGTTTTCAATTAGATCATCATCAGGCTTTACTCTAATATACAGTAATATTTATACGAAAATGTTGTTCTAATTTTCACAATGGGAATCTTTAATATTCTAAAATCGCGTGGGGATCCCGCTGCATTTAAGACACTCAATGAGTTTCTGAAGTTTAATGCACGTTTCACAGAAGCGATAACGAGCTTAGGATTTGCTATAAGTTGTATACAATCTAATAGATATCCTAAAATATATTGGAAGTCTTTACGTCTATCCGAATGCTAAAACACCTGAAAGACATGCTTCGAATCAAATTGACACTTTAAAAATGAATATATGCGACTTGGAAAGGAATCTTCTTCAATGACAATACTCAGTTAGAAACCTGCCTTTAGAGTTACAGTCAATGTTTATGGATTATGTGGAGAAAATTTCCAAAAACAGATCTGAAAAAACGTTGACAAAACTAATGAAAACTTTGGAGAACCAAAAGCCTGAGAAGCAGTTTCCTTTCGACCCGAAACGGTATGTACATAATTTTTCCAATATTGAACTAGATGTAATACAGCTAGAAGCTTTATCTCTGGGGCCTAAATTCTGTGATAGTAGGCATAGAATCAACCAATTAGACACTGATTTACAATTTGAGAATCTATTTTCACAAACAACTGACTTGATTCCTACCTCATTGGAGGATCTTGCTCGGTTTAAGACCACGTCAGTTGATAGCTGCCAACAATACAAGAATAGTAAGGGTAGCACAAATCACCTACTAACGAAGCAGCACCGAGACTCTTTAATGAAACTAAGAGAAGATGAAACGCTGATCATAAGCAAACCAGATAAAGGAGGAGGTATAGTTCTCATGAATTAAAAAGATTACATCGAGAAAATGGAAGCTATGCTTAGTGATCCCAACAAATTTCAGAAAGTTACTAGTAATTGTGATATCAATAATAAAGTAGAAAAACAATTGGCTAATTTTCTTAAGGATCTAAAGAAAAAGGGAATAATTAAGGCTGAGATTCATGACTCAATTAAGCCGACTGGATCATATACACCACGACTTTACGGTTTGCCCAAAGTTCATAAACCGGGTCTTCCTCTACGCCCAGTTCTCGATAAGTACAACTCTCCGTACCACAAAATTGCAAAGTGGCTAGTGCGAATCTTAGAGCCTTTGCACAAATCAGTTGTTAGAAATAGTGTAAAAGATGTCTTCGTATTCACCTCCAAAATGGAAAATATAAATGTCAGCATGAAAAATATGATCTCTCTTGATGTAGTATCATTGCTCACCAACGTACCATTTATGGAGACTATCGAGTTTATATGCAAGCAAATATCAGAAAAACAAATCAACATTGGCTTGCCTGAAGATAGTTTAAAGGAACTGCTCCTTAGATGCACTCTGAATGTCCATTTTGTCTTCAACAATACTTATTATAGACAAATAGACGGGATAGCCATGGGCTCACCTCTAGGCCCGATTTTAGCTGATCTCTTTCTAGCAAAGCTAGAAAATGGACCTCTTAAGGAGACTATTAATAAGCTTGATTTATATTGCCGCTACATTGACGACACTCATTATCGCAGATCAAAACACCAGTAAGGAGAAACTCTTAGAACAATTTAACAGTGTTCACCCAGCGATCAGTTTCACTGGTGAATGCGAGCATGACAAAAAGCTGAACTTCCTTGACGTCACACTAAGCAGACGATGTGATGGCACATTAAGTAGAAGCGTGTATGGAAAAAGCCCCTCTACCTGCCAATATACTCACTTCTGCAGTTTCACACCTATCCGCTACAAGAGAAATTTGGTTAGATGTCCCACAAGCACAACTCCGCCTGTAGCTCTTCAAGAGTTACTGCCGGTCCCAAGCCGGGGTAAAGGAGGAGGGTTGGGCATGGGGTTAGCGTCCCCATCCCGTAGAAACCTAACTCGCTAAAAAAACGCTAACCAGAAAAAATAACTCAAACCATTTAAACTCTGCCCTGGGAGTTAGAGGTAATATGACGCTTCATGGTGAGAGCCGAGTTCCTTCGGAAGCCACGAGGCCGATGCCCCTCCTAACAACCAGAGCAACAATTTTTATAGGTACATGGAACGTCCGGACAATGTGGGAGACCGTGAAGACCAGTCAAATAGCAACGGAAATGAGGAGATACAACTTGGCAGTACTGGGAATCAGTGAAACCCATTGGACCCAAGCTGGACAACAAAGGCTAAATACGGGAGAGATGCTGCTATACTCCGGTCACGAAGAGGAAAATGCTCCACACACTCAGGGAGTTGCTCTAATGCTATCCAAAGTAGCACGAAATGCACTTGTAGGATGGGAATCTCACGGATCCAGAATCATCAAAGCATCATTCAAAACAAAGAAGGAGGGGATCACAATGAACATTATCCAATGTTATGCACCCACCAATGATAGCAACGACGACGTTAAGGATCAATTCTATGAGAGGCTGCAATCAATCATAGAGAAGTGCCCAAGAAATGACCTCACCATTCTGATGGGAGATCTAAACGCCAAAGTCGGAATGGACAACACCGGATATGAAGACATCATGGGACTACATGGACTGGGAGAGAGAAACGAAAACGGGGAAAGATTTGCAAATCTGTGTGCATTCAATAAATTGGTCATAGGCGGTACAACATTTCCACACAAACGTATACACAAAGCTACGTGGATCTCACCGGACCACACCACAGAGAACCAGATAGATCACATTTGCATCAATAAAAAGTTCCGAAGGACAATGGAAGATGTGAAAACCAGGAGAGGAGCGGACATAGCTTCAGATCATCACCTAGTTGTGGCCAAATTGAAACTGAAGCTAAAGAAGAACTGGACAACTGGACAAACAGCATCACAAAGGTTCAATACAGCCTTCCTTCGAGATACTGACAAACTCAATGAATTCAAGGTAGCTCTCAACAACAGGTTCCAAGCCTTACAGGATCTACTGAAGGAAGAAGAAACTACTATGGAGGATAGCTGGAAAGGTATCAAAGAAACATTAACTTCAACGTGTCAAGAGGTTCTGGGCCCCAAGAAGCATCATCACAAGGAATGGATCTCTACAGAAACACTTGACAGGATCAAAGAAAGAAAGAACAAGAAGACAGCAATTAACAACAGTCGAACAAGAGCAGAGAAAGTCCAAGCACAAGCAGAGTACATAGAAGCAAAAAAGAAAGTGAAGAAGAGCATTAGAGCTGATAAGCAAAAATACGTGGAAGAACTAGCAACGACGGCGGAAAAAGCTGCAAGAGAAGGAAATATGAGACAGCTTTACGATACGACGAAGAAGCTTGCAGGGAAATACAGTAAACCAGAGAGACCAGTCAAAGACAAAGAAGGAAGACCAATCACTGAGATTCAACAACAGCGCAACAGATGGGCAGAGTACTTCGAGGAACTCCTGAACAGGCCGGCTCCAATGAATCCACCGGACATCGAAGCAACACACACAGATCTTCCTATAAATGTCAACCCACCAACGACAGAAGAAATCAGAATGGCCGTCAGACAAATCAAGAGCGGGAAAGCAGCAGGGCCTGACAATATACCAGCTGAAGCGTTGAAGTCAGACATCGAAGTAACTACAAGCATGCTTCATCTTCTATTCAAGAAGATTTGGGAGGAGGAACAAGTGCCGATGGATTGGAAAGAAGGACACCTCATCAAGATTCCAAAGAAAGGAGATCTGAGCAAGTGTGAAAACTACAGAGGCATTACACTACTGTCAATACCGGGTAAAGTCTTCAACAGAGTGTTACTGAACAGGATGAAAGACGCAGTTGATGCTCAACTTCGAGATCAACAAGCTGGATTCCGTAAGGACCGGTCGTGCACAGACCAGATTGCGACACTACGGATCATCGTCGAACAATCAATTGAGTGGAACTCGTCACTCTACATCAACTTCATTGATTATGAGAAGGCATTTGACAGTGTAGATAGGAGGACGTTATGGAAACTTCTTCGACACTACGGAGTTCCTGAGAAGATTGTCAACATTATCCGGAACTCATACGATGGACTACAGTGCAAAGTAGTGCATGGAGGACAGCTGACAGAGGCATTCCAAGTAAGGACCGGAGTAAGACAAGGCTGTCTACTCTCTCCCTTCCTCTTTCTTCTGGTGGTCGACTGGATTATGAAGACCTCGACATCTGAGGGAAACTACGGCATACGATGGACAGCTCAGAACCAATTAGACGACTTGGACTTCGCAGACGACCTAGCCCTCCTATCACATACACACGAACAAATGCAGATAAAGACAGCCAGCATAGCAGCAGTCTCTGCATCAGTAGGCCTCAACATACACAAAGGGAAAACCAAGGTCCTCAAACACAACACGGAGAACAGCAATCCAATCACTCTTGATGGCGAAACTCTGGAAGACGTGGAATCCTTCACATACCTGGGAAGCATCGTCGATAAACAAGGAGGTTCAGATGCAGACGTCAAGGCGAGGATTGGCAAAGCTAGAGCGGCATTCCTTCAACTGAAGAACATATGGAACTCAAAACAACTTTCAACCAATATCAAAGTCAGAATCTTCAATACGAACGTCAAGGCAGTTCTACTGTACGGAGCTGAAACTTGGAGAACTACAACAACCACCATCAAGAAGGTACAGGTATTTATTAATAGCTGTCTACGCATGATACTCAACATCCATTGGCCGGATACCATCAGCAACAGCCTTTTGTGGGAGAGAACCAACCAGCTTCCAGCTGAAGAGGAAATTAGGAAAAGACGATGGAAATGGATAGGACATACATTGAGGAAATCATCAAACTGCATTACGAGACAAGCGCTAACTTGGAATCCTGAAGGGAAGCGGAAAAGAGGAAGGCCAAAGAACACATTACGTCGGGAAATAGAAGCAGATATGAAAAAGATGAATAAGAACTGGAAAGAGCTTGAAAGGATTGCCCAGGACAGGGTTGGATGGAGAATGCTGGTGAGCGGCCTATGCTCCTTCACGAGGAGTAACAGGCGTAAGTAAGTAAGTAAGTCCCACAAGCACAGCAAAAAAGATTTGTACAGGTGATACTTTAAGTCAGGAGCTTGAATTTATTAACAACTCGCTGACCGAGATCGGTTACCCCGGTGCTTTCATTAAGAAGTACATGTATGATATAATAAAGAAGTCGGAGATTTCGACTGTTCGTAAGAAACCTTTATACATGAAACTACAATTCAACGGGGATGTGGCTAGTGATACTCTGAAATATAGGTTAACGAAAGTAATCAGCAGAACATTTTACGCAGCCAATCTTGCGTTGACTTTCTCTTGTCGACCAGCGATGTCTACTCAAACGAAGGATAAGTTACCTGAGTTGGCCTCCTCAATGTGCATCTACAAATTCAGCTGCTCCTGTGGAGATAGCTATATCGGGCGTACAACCAGACAACTTAGCCAACGAATGAGTGAACATCTACCAACTTGGTTCATAAACGGCCAGATAAAAACAGTACGCAGTTCAATCCTGGCACATCTTGTTGATAGTGATCATGCGGTAGATAAATCGAAATCATTTCGAGTGATCTATCGTGTACCTCCATCATTTCCCAAAGGAGTTCGTTCCCGTCTCCTACATATAGCTGAAGCCATAGGAATCCGTACATATAACCCCAATCTATGTGTACAGAAGAAATTTGTAACTACCCTATTCCTTCCATGGCCAGTTATCACTTAACTAACGATTAATTTTTATTTCTTCATTTTTATTTTCTTTATTTTATTATTATTATGTGTGATGACTTATCCTATTTCATTATAATTACTGACCCAAAATTGCCTTGATTGGTTTAACATTTTCGTATATATATTACTGTATATTAGAGTAAAGCCTGATGATGATCTAATTGAAAACAATTGTTCGCTTATATGTGTTGTTCTAATTTTCACAATGGGAATCTTTAATATTAATATAAATGTAAATGAAAAAACAGTATCTATAATCGCTTAACTAACCTGTTCGATATTAGGTTGTAATGGACTATACAACAACCTCGTTTCGACGTGTTCTTTTACCAATGGAAGTTTATTTAAAATATGTAAGGCCAAACGTTCTTTCGGTGGTCCTAAATGTGGATTCGGTACCATACCACGTTCAAAATCTTCCAATACAAATACGCGTTGACCAACACGGCAACTTGGATTTGGTTTAATGTCTGTTGTTTCTCCATACTGTGGCGCTGGTAATGAGTAACTATCACATACAGCTAGTAATATTTCACTTGGTAATCTTGAATCTCTCCATTGGTTTGGTCCAGAAACACAGTAAGATTGTGGTAGGCCACATGTAGCTCGATATTTTGTTAAACGTCTGTTTTCCAAATCAATATCTGTTTGTCCTATTACATCATCTGCACCAACTGCATCATAATCTTTCACTATAACGTGTAGTTCTTTTTCAATCGGTAAAATACACTTCATTTGAAACATTCTAAAACAATTTACAAACGTAATGAAATGATATGAGGTCAATGTTGATAAAGTGCCAACTTTACTTCGGTAAACAGAGAAATTAGCTGATATAATATTTCACCGCCTTCGTGCTCTTATTGGATGCGACAGTTTGGACCAGTTACTAATATTGGGGATAGAAATTGATCTACGCTTTGAAAAAGTCACGTGTTTTTGTTACTATGAAATTGGTGAATAAATATGTAGTTTTCTGTTTAAAATGGACAATTTCTGTTGCCCTGTCCTTTGATACTCATTTATTGAAGAGGGATAGATTTTGAGCTGAAAATATAATTTTATGTGAACAATAATCAGTCGTCTACGTTACTCACTGTCATTCAAGTGATTGTGATCTATGCAATTACATATCATTTGCAATGGATTATATACCATTAAGTGATAACTAGTACTTTAACGAAATCAACTTCAGGTATACGAATGTGTTGGAATGAACCGCTGTATTATAAGATAGAAATAACGATAAAAAATTGTTCTTTCCGACTGGAAAACGCAATGCACCATAGGTAGGGAAATTGTTTAATCGGAGATTGATATTCTTTATAGACTAGGATAATATGATAAATCGCTGAAAAATAAGAAACCCTAGACAGTTGTTTTGCTATAATGCTGAAGTCCCCAAAAATACCTAAAAATGTATATTAGATGATGTCCAGAACAACCATTTTACAGAATATCGCTGATGAGGATTCAAAATAGAAAGCAATGAACTCCGCCTCGTTATGCGAAGGCATAGTAGTTCTGGTTTTAAACCTGTTTATAACCTTGGATGGATTGTAAGTGACAAAACACTGCGATTGACTTAGTCAAGTAACCTAAGCATTAAAATTGCAACAAACCCTAGTTACAAACAATGTGTTAATATGCTTGTAATGATTGTTTGGTCAACAGTCCATTTGTATCTAGTGTTTAATAGAACTAACAATATAAAATTTTTGGATAGAGGACTGGGTTTGAATCTTATTTTATGAACTTCATTTACTGAAAATATGGCTTAGCAAAAAAACCAATTACTTCATACTAGAAAGGTATTTACGACTAACACTTCTGCAAATTACTTTTACTATAAAATCGTAAAAAAATATTATTCTCAATGGAAACTTACTTTCCAAATTCTGGATTTAAAGTATTTGGAAGATATTTATCTTTCGAATTAACTTTATGCTGACCTACAATGATTTCCACATAAGGATCAGCCTAAAACGTTTGAGATAAAATCATAAAAATAAGCTTATTATGAAAATGAACTGCGGATTTAAACAAATAGAGAATAAATAGTGTTTCTACTGTTAAGAATATATATGTGATAATAATAATAAAAACAATAATAAGTCGCTAAGTAACAAATAATGTCATAATGTCGAATTATTATGAACGATTGAACTCTATTGACAAAGCTGCAGTATGTACACTAGTTACAAATAATCAATAATGTCTTAAATCTAATTTCCGTATTAGTTAGCTATTGTCAAATCAAAGTATCTTCAAATTTCTACCCAAATGGATTCGAGCTCATTATTGTGTTTCATCTATATTTACGTTTAATTTTGTGAAGCCCTTCAATTAACTTATTTTTCAGTGTCATTTGAACAGTAAAAATCTTATCAATTCATTGGATTCTCAATACACCTCTTTACTTGCTATCTCACTCACATTATCGTTTCTGCTGAAATTCACTTGGCGTGTTTATGGTTACAATTAACGCTTCGAAATTGTCTTCTGAAGTTTATACACCGTTGGGAGTTATATAATATCTGCCATTAGGACAAGTGACATACGAAGCCTTAGGAATTATCTCGAAAAAATTCCACGGCACCATATCCACCTAGTATAGTAATCAAAGATATTCCCTCTAATCAATCCGAAATATGATAAATTCCCATAAGACTGAACTATTTGCACTAATCGGTAATTTTGTATCGATCAATCTCATATTGTCTAGTTCTAAGCGCTGATCTAATTTATATCATCATCATCATCATCGGTCCCTTCAAGATTACGCTTTACTCATGAGTGTCATGTAGCACAACCTGAGCCTAGGTCTTTTGATAGACTATCTCAAAGTATCTAACGATAGTGACAGTCATTATGCTCAATGAGCAAATCAAATGATGCATTTATTGATGTTTTCAAGCTTACAAACAGATTTCTACTAAATAAGAGAAGATAGGCAACATGAAATCTTTCCAAAAGTTCATATTGATTCAACAAAAGTCAGTCAACAGGACGGATTGAACAAAAGGACACTGAGTCCATCCAGTGATTAATTAATGTAGATATTATACCAAACTTCAACGATTTATGTTGATTATCTGAAATTATTTTTGACGAGATAAAATCGAGCATATTGAAGGTACTTGCATATTCAACACAATTGCGAACTTATCATAAAGTCAAACTAATTTCAGAACTCGGAGAAGCTATTTCATTAAATGTTAGGATCTCTTGAAAGTATACATACTGACTTCATATGAGTTTGAACCTAGAAATTTTAGTCTATTCTGAAAAAAATTGTAGGAATCGGCCGTTGGGTCGCCATCCAAAACAAATGGTACATTGTTCGACTTCAGCTTATCTGGAATATAGCATAATATGTAACTGACCTTAAACAAAGTAACATCATAATTTGTTTTCACTAGAAACTGTTATCATCAGATGTGAGCTATTTTATTTAGCTACCTGTAAATCCAACTCCCTAAGCAGTCCCTCGGTTTCTCTCCCTGTCTATTTGGATTAGTTAGACTTTAAAATTGTGGATCGAGTAACAAAATCGGACAGTAAGCTATGACAAGAATAAATATACTGAAACTATTCGCTTACCAAACCTGATGAATCTGATGGCTGTAAATCAATTGCGCGTATAATGTAAACACGTAACATGCATTCTTCTGGGTCAGACGATACACTTAATTTCTCAAAATAACGTACTGGTAATTGTTCTTTCGGATCTTCTGGTAATGGATAAATACGAAATGTCCCTTTAAATTCACCGGCATAATTATCTTCATCTTCATCAACATTTTTACCTCTTGATAACGTGAATGTATTACAGAAATCTGTAAATCCATTGAATCCTTCCACTTCTTCCAATGGATGAGAATAAACCTGAAACATAAGAAAAAACAGTACATGCTCAATTTATGGGAATGAATTGAAAATTAACTTTGAATAGATGAATTAAAAAGATTTGTTGTGTTGAAATTGATTTAGCCACAGATTGGCTATTGACTTGTACTCACCACAAAACAAGAAGGTCCTATATTCAACGGACTGTAAGGGATTTAGGGTGTACATTATTGAGGAGTATGAAACTTGGTGGAAAATACTGCTCAGTACTGAGTACTTTTCAAGTTTTTTGACTAGTGACCCATATTGGTGAAAATCAGCCAACAAATAATTCTGATTTAGTTCTCCTTTCATTGTTTCCTGTGAAATCTACACTGGAATTATACTGTCAGTCAGTCTATGAACTTTGATCAGTATATCAAACACAGCCATTTGCTAAGAAATATATATATATATATATATATATATATATATATATATATATATATATATATATATATATATATATATATATATAAGTGCGTCTTGTCGACTCATATGACAAACAGAAATAGATGAACCAAAGATTGGACTTGAAAGTTGAATCGTTTAATCGCTAAGTGAATGCTTCATTTATTAGTTCAAAGAAACTTATTATTTTCTGGAACGTATATCCTATGCTCACCACTTCAACCGCTAATGGGTTATTTACGAAGCTAGAGATCATAATTAAGTACTGAATGTCGACAGCAGGATAACACAAATTATTATACCCATTGAACAAATTGGTAGCTATCTGAACTCAATAATTAAATCATTACTGTTTGAAGCGATAGGTACTGCGTTGATATCTCAGTCTGGACATCATCTCGGGGAAATATTTATATCTACCTGACGAGTCCCAAATAACCAGAATCATGTTTTACCCGGATGAGAATAAATGAATCGTAATGCTAGAAATTATTTATGGACTGATTTTATGCATATATTCTTATTGTATAACAGTTAAGAAACTTAACTAGATATATTTATATTCCTTTTACTACAAGCTGTTATTTGATCTATTGGGTAGTGTTATATGATTTACTATTCACAAGTTATTCTCAATACATTAGTTACAGTTTCTCACAATCACAGCTACTTTTTGGGCTTGATCTTTTACAAATGTTATTTTCTATTTTGTGGTGGGATGTGGTCTGGTTTTGCTTTTATATAAACCAAGTATGTTTGAAACATATGATTCGATATTACAGAGACTGGTATTTGCATTCTGGACTGAATCAGATGGGTTAGATGAGTAGCTGTTATCTCAAGGACCAACAAGAACTCAAGACTGGTTCATGTGTCATTGGTCTAATCAATAAGTCCGTGACTTTAAATGGCGATCGTAATGCGTGATTTACTAACAGGGCACAAGTTCTATTTTTAGTCACAGTTCAACCACACTAGTAACTAAAAGCAATAATGAGACAAGCCTCTCGGTTTGCATTATGCTAAGAGAGACTGATCAAATTCAGCCCTTAGGATCAACAACAGGAAAACTTTTCTAAGTAATGTTTTCCTGTGAAGTTTCAAGAAAACTGTCTGTACCTTCTTCGTTTGTAAAATGATCGATAAAGGAACAAAAATCATTTCTGGAAATATCATGTTTATGTAAGTAACCCATAAGCTGACTGTTAAAACTCGACCAGAGATTTTGGATTACTTACTATTCAAATACACGGTAGTTTGTATTAGTTTATCGTTTAAAATAGTTATTCTCTTATTTCATGAAATCACGTAGGACTAACTACTGAAGAAAACCCATTCATAGGTCATGGACTATATATATTGATCTTTGCGTTTTGTTTAACGTCTAAAGTTCAACATTATCAAAAGATTAATAGTAAAGTAGGTTCTAAAACATTTGAATTGATCATTCTATATCTAAATATTTGAAGTGTTCATATCATTGTGTCACATGAAAATAAATGACAAGGTGACATGTTCATAGACTATCGAACTTGAGAAAAAACAAAACAAGTAGTTTATCTAAGAATTATTAATCAACAATAAATAAAACTAATATTAACTGATGAATAAACTTACACAAATTGTATCATAACCAAACTCTTTATATTTTAAACATTTATCCCATTCACCAATCGATGCATAGAATTTCGACCACCAATCTATTTTATCATCAATTTGTTTAAGATCCATCTAAATGATGAACAATAATCATGTTTTAGAGATATTAACAGTGATTTTCGAAAAATAACTTTATGTGTACACAAATATACATATACATTCGCTTCAGAAGGACTACCTAGAATTATGCAGTTTATATTTTACTGGAATAAATCCCTTCCCTATTCCATAATCTAGTTTCAATCCTATCGTTGTCATCATATCATGGTACGAATTTTTTGAGTGAAGGTTTATGTACTGGTTTTACGAGTCCCACTGTTGGTATGAAATCTACCGCTACCCTTGACAACTGCATAAAACCGAGATAGGCGACACAGCACTAAAGTGATTAATCTACCGGCTGAAAACCAAGTGTTTTGACCACCAAAATCAGTCCAGTACCATACCTGGGTCAAACTATCTGGTGTAGAAAGAATAAAACAGATGGTTAAGTAATTTACTGTATATATATATATATATATATATATATATATATATATATATATATGGTGAGTACAATCAACAATATTCAATTGTGTACTCAAGATACTTTTAGACGTTACTTTTCTATCTATTTCAAAGATTAAACAAAACTGACAGTCGTAAATAACTCTGTATAACAAATAAAGATCCAAACAATATTCAACATCCAATGTAAAATTATCAATCCTAAATAATAATACTTCATGATGACATAGAATCAAAGCATAACATAGCATATTGAAACACCAACACCAAAAATAATTGAAAAGTTAAAAGATTTGTTAATAGCTAAGAAGTAGTAGAATAGAAAAATTGTATTCATAGTTCACTGAAAATGAAATTTCTGTAATTATTTTATGATGTATCTAATGTAAATCCTACTGTGGGGTGAGCTACCTATATCCACATAAGTAGTATATAACAATAGTCAGAAATAGAATCCATTTCAGAAGAAGATCGAGAACAGAAAGCAATTGGTATGAAAATGCAGGAACAATGAAATATGAGACGATGGACTGATATTTGCAAAAGAAACAGTCAAGTTTGAGATAATCGATTGGTGTTTTGCAAATTAAGTCTTTACTGTATGGTTTTCAGATTTTAGTTAGATATTTTGTAATTTTGTGTTCAACTACGATTGGTTGACCCCAATCGTGTTCTTGTTCACCACACTATTTGTTTATGTTCACTTTGATTATAGTGCGACCTTACTGAAAATATGCATTTAAGGAACAATTTTTTTGTTTTAGAAGACTACATTTCATTATGAAGTGTCTGTCTGAAGAGACCGAATGTCAATTATTTTGACATAAAATGCATAAAAATGCAATTAGACATGAAACGAAAAAGAAAATCATCACTGAATTGACGTGTATTATATACCAGTGGATGCAAACAAAGATGTGCTCATAGGTATGTGTGAAAAAAACGACACAACCAACAGGACTGAAATAGCAGTTGTATAAAATAAAGAAAAACTAACTAAATTATCAACTGTAACATTTTGGGAAATATATGGCATCTCACTGCTCTGAAAATCGAAACAAATATATTTCTTTAAAAAAAAGCAGAACATAACTGACATTGAACATCAAACCTAGTTTATAATTTCGTTTTTCAAGTACATTGCGATACTCAGGTGCTTAACAATTTTAAAAGTGCGAGTAAACACAGTAGAACTCAAACCGAAACCCAAAATAACATTTTTCCAAGTGACCAGTAAACAACGGATAGAAGTGTAATAAAAAGTGAACAAGTTGTTTTTTTTGCAAGGATTGACAAGCACCTGGATTTCTAAGGACTGGACCTTCTTGGATTTTAGAAATTTCCACTTTTTTCTAGGTTTCTGTTCAGCAACAATACCGGTTACAACTTTGACTCTTTTCGGATGCGATAAATCCTCAGGTGTCTAGGTAAAAAAAATTTGTGTTGAACTTTTTTAAAGACAAACAACTATATGTATGTTTCGTGTGGTTACTAACGAGTACACTCTACTACAAGTGAACAAAATCTATCTTCATTGATACTTGATAAAGTTTAAAATTCTTTTATTTCTCATTTCATCATGGATTGACGTCAACTGGGAAATATTTAATATTGAGGAGGCATTCGGCAGTTCATATAGTCTAGTTTGAAATTCCTTAGCAATTCTCACCATCAACACCGGACGAGAACTAATCAAGAGCTTCACGTTTCGAGTAAATTTTCAGATCGTGAAGATTAAAACTATCGAATCAAGGGAAACCGTAAAATCAAGTACGGTACGGGTTATTCCGGCTGATGAGCAGCGATTAAGGTGAAATACGCCTATCGATTTTAATATGTAGTCCTAATCCAATAGTATTTTTAACTTAAAGGCAATATGAATGGTTGAATTTTGGATGAATATATGCGACAGGAAACAATCAACTGTGATCTTGAATATCAGCAACAGGAGACTATAAGTATTTACAAACTAAAATATTTACTTGATCCATGTTTTACACAAAAACATCTAATGTAAATAAATTTAATCATAAAAGTGTCCTGGGATTTACCAGCCACGAATTTTGTACATGGCTGACTGAAAATATGAATGTCATTCACTTATTTTCTTATTGAGGATCATTACCGTAAAAGCCTTATTTCAGTGATACTAATTAATTGCTTAATAATAGCCAATAATATATTGTGTATATCTCAGCGATGATCAAATTTCACTGCTCTAGTTGTAATATGGATTACAGCAAGTATGATTCGAAATGATGAAGCCCTATGTTTTTAATGTTAGGTAATTAAAGGCAAGGGCCTACCTGCCTACATTTTATGTTATTTGGGACCTATCGTCAAGGTGTATTTTGAATTTTATCGAAGAGCGCCAACTAGCATGAAATTTGTATCAGTGACTTCCTGTTCGTTTTTTCTGTCCTAATGAATATGCATTCACAACCAAGTTAAGTATCAGATCTAGGAAGAGTGTAACTAAACACAAACAGCTGAACAGGATTCAACTAGTTCGCATATACTAACTTTTAGAAGATTTGCAATATAGCTGGATGATAACCAACAGACATGGTTGAACTCCACCAATCAGGACTACTCACTTGAATTTTGGTATTTCTTCTCAAACCTAGTTACTTATGAGCATGCAATTATTGGTACAATAATATAATTGTTGAAACTGTTTGGTTTTTCCGAATTAGTTTACATAATTGAGATTTTAAGAAATTAATATAGAAAAATTTTGTTCATCAACTATATTGATCAATACTTTTTCATAGGTGAGATACCCATCTTTCCATCAAAGGATGAGTAAACTGCTCAGTATCTTTCTGTTTCATTTCATAGCTGTAAAGTGTGACCTTTAAAAATAGAAGATATTCGTAGGTCATTAATAATGATCATGGATGTAGTGGAGTATGTTTGGACCATTGAGTGAGCAGGGCGATAGGTTAAAATATTAGGTCGGTTGATGAGATGTCGAATTTTTGTCGACTGAAATGTGTGAGATATACACTAAATGCCCGAGACCACCGCTCAGCACGACTAACAATGAAAGATAGTGTAGGAGTAGAATAGAAATAAGTTAAGGACCGCCTAACTAAAATGTGTCAGCGGTATATGAAGACACCGGCTGTCGAAATAAGCCATGTTAGTATTTGTAGACTATCTGGCTACGTGCAATTATCATAGACAATGGTTGGAGGGATAGTTATCATGATTTGGAATCAGCCGCAATAGTGTAAATAAAATCTTTCTTTATCTTTACTTAGTTCTTGGGTTTCAAAATTTCGTCATACTTTTCTGTTTCATGAACTCACTGTTATTGTTTTCCTTCAATCATTTCTACTAGCACTGATACCTTAGCATATCTAATAATCTACCGTTTATCGTGATTGTTCCTTTTTGAACCTATGCATGTTACCGATTGAGTGACCCTAATATGAGCATATATATTCTCTGCCAAACTATTGCTACCTGTAAGCAACACATCTTGACAGGATTTCAAAAAATCAGCTGAAAAGCGCTTTTAAGTAATAGTTGAATAAGAATACTGTGTTGTTTTGACTAGACAGAACTGGATGTTTGTTTGAATGATAATTGGAATTTTGAAATGACTGTAAAATACGGCACTGCCACTTACAAATTTTTTCTTCTGTTTCGATTTGCCTTTAACTGGTGATTGAACCTCTACTTTCGGTTCAGCTAGATAAGGCTCTTGTGTTGTAAAAGCAATATCAGTTAAGGCTATTTTTGGAGAAAAATCAAGGGAAAAGAATGAAACGATTTATATGAACATCATCAGGTTGCATAAATGTTTATTATTATCATCATTTGTTTGGATAATTCATCAATAGAGTTTTAGCTTAACAACTCTTTTCATTATAAAAAAATGATTTTATCTGTAGAGATTACCACATAGTTCTGATAAGCTTCGTTTTCATATTACACTATCAAAATTTATATGTAAAGAGTTATTTCAAATAAGGAAGCATCGACTAAATGTTTCGTCCTCCATAGCAGAATAAGCCTATATCTAAACACGTGGGATCAAAAAAGAGGGACATTTAGATCAGCTAATGAGCTTGTTACTTTTCAGACAACCGAACTGAGTTCTATTTATCAGTATAGGTTTGTGGAGATTATTAAGTCTTTGATTGAGATCATAAATTGATTGATGTTAGACCACTATTGAAAACCTGGAAGCACTACATGGCCGTTTCGTCTTATTGTGGGACTCCTCAGAAGTCCGCATTCACGATCCCGCTCACGGGATTCGAGACTGAAGGCCCTGAATTCCATTTGTCTAGATATTAAATGATAGATGAGTTTCAATGCCACTGTTTTGTACATGTTTAAAAGTAAATATGGATAAATTTTGTCTATACGTCTGGTTACTGGATTATTGATAATGTCAAAAATTCGCTTTTTATTACTTTTTGTTGTGTACTTGTAACTTTGACATTTGAGTTAGATATCACAAAAGCGTTAGCCAAACACATTTTGTTTACTGATTGTATAGTTAAGATACAGTAGTCGAAGTCTAAAGTTATCTTTTAAAATAACACTAGTGTACAATTCAAAGCCATTTAAAATTCAAGAATACATCCGACAACGATGAAATACGAACACTCCAAAAATAATAACACCGATGTCTAATTTTCTGAGCTAGGTGGTCTAATCATGTAAGTATTATTGGCATTACGAGACAACATGGTCAAGACAAACTGTAAACAGAGATGAACGATATAATCGTAACAACAAAAAAAACAAACATTAGTTAGACAAACATTCTATTTGTGTAATTGCTGCCATTTATTTTATTTACAGAGACAATGAAAGCTTTACGACTAAGCAATCTAATTCAAAGAATACAACAAGAAAATATTCCTGCTGATCTACAAATCTGTAGCTAGTAGTTATAAATAAGATAATATATTTGTAATATTCTAATGAGTAGAAAAATTAGATTTTCTGATGTTTCGTGACTCAGTATGAGCCACTTCTTCATAGAATAAACAACCGAATCGAAATTCATCCAAGTTTAAATAATACCGGATATTACAAATATATTATTTTTCATTTATAATAATCTACCTAATGCTCAGTTTATTCAAAATTATCAAGTTAAACCTCGGTAATGATACCTCGTTAGTAGTTGGTTCAGAAATCAACGTTTTATTAAGATAGTTGATAATGTAGATAATCATTATGATTAGTTGTAGCTAGAATGTTACATTTGCTACTATGTATTACTACTTTCCAACGCATAAATGTGCAACAATCTTGGCATGCTCATTCATGTATTTTGTGATCTATTCATCTTCACATTACGAATTCGGTTACGTTTAGAACTTTTACCTAAACTTCATAAACGAAAGTAAGTCAAATATTTGTTTAGATTTCTATTGACAATTGTTATTTAGGGCTGTATGCAACTGATGAGAAACCGTGAAAGAGAATGAGTTCATTTTATCCCGCATACCTTGCACTTATTTTTCTATTTAAATTCATCAGGGAATCTTGTTGCATGAAATCATTTATCTGTTGTAATTTCAGATCGATTAAAAAGTATATGAAGAGTTGTGTTACTGTTCAGCCATAAGCCTTCATCGTAGTTACACTGCAGGCACTTGCTCGGCAAGCTAATGTGTTTGCAGCCGATTAGCGTGATGCCAGTGTGAGACCATTTGTGTCTTGCTGATAATGTCGGTCAAATTACTAAATCCCTTCAAAATCACCACCCTCTTAAAAGCCACATATTTTTACGAAGTGATAAAACATTGGCAGTACCTTGTATATCCATTAAAACATCTGTTTGTGATGTTCTCGCTGGTACTTTGAATGCTTGAAAATCTGTTAAAACATGTACACCAACCATTGGTTTCTGTCCAAATGCTCTATGATCACGTACACATATATTCATTGGTGGCAAATAAATTTCTTCTTTTGGCAATAAAACATCTAAGAATAATAGTGGCGATGAAAAATTTGGATTTTTTTTCACACTTTTTATGATTGTTGATTCAACTACTTTACCACCAATTTCAAATTCCACTGACGGTGAATTAACACTAGCTAGTTTATATTTACGCATTGTCCGAACACCCCAACAAAGAATTTCAATGCCGGTACGTTGGAGTACAGGACGTATACCTTCGGGTACATTGAATAAAGTACCACGACGTGTAGGTGGTGGTGGTGGAGATTTACCATCAAGCTGTAAGGATGTGTTATGTTAAAGGAAATAAATAAATATAAATGTTTAGTTGAAATAATTATTACTTATCATTTTTTAAAAATTTCTCTTGAATTTGTTATTCAGTCCTTTTTTAAATAATCATTTATTATAAACACGTAATATGTTTGGTACCTGATAAGTGGTGACTTTCAAACTCATGTTTGTAGTTCAAAGGTTACTAGCGCTTGACCCTAGACATTTTTCAATTATTGGTTGCGTATGGTGAAACAAACAAATGATCAATGCCAAGATTAGATCTAAAGTGTTAGCTACAGATGGCAAATCCGTTGAAAGGACAATGAATTTTCACTGACTTAGGTAGCTGAAACATAATAAATTTATCCACCTAGACAGAAAATGATGAATGAAGTATAAAACGGGTTGGGAGAAATTTAGGGGTGGCCAAGTCAAGAATTAACTCCGCCTGGAGCCCCTTTCCGGGGGCTACTGCCGGTCCCAAGCCCGGATAAAGGAGGAGGGTTGGGCATGGGGTTAGCGACCCCATCCCGTAGAAAACTAACTCGCTAAAAAAACGCTAACCAGAAAAAATTATTCAAACCATTGAAATTCTGCCCTGGGAGGTCTTCGTTTAGAAGAATTATGACGCCTCATGATGAAAGCCGAGTTTCTTCGGAAGTCACGAGGCCGATGCCCCTTCTGACAACCAGAGCAACCATTTATTTAGGTACATGGAATGCTCGCACAATGTGGGAGACTGGGAGAGTTTTCCAAATTGCTGCAGAAATGAGGAGATACAATTTAGAGGTGCTTGGGATCAGTGAAACACATTGGACGCAAGTTGGACAACAACGACTAGCTTCAGGGGAGCTGCTGTTATACTCCGGACATGAAAAAGAAAATGACCCACATACACAAGGAGTTGCACCGATGCTGTCCAAACAAGCACAAAATGCACTTATAGGATGGGAATCTCATGGACCAAGGATCATCAAAGCCTCCTTCAAAACAAAGAAAGCGGGCATTACAATGAACGTCATTCAATGCTATGCGCCTACCAACGAATACAATGAAGACGCTAAAGATCAATTCTACGATAGGCTGCAGTCAATCGTCGAGAAGTGCCCAACAAAAGACCTGACTATTCTAATGGGAGACCTAAATACCATGGTTGGAACTGACAACACCGGATATGAAGAGATCATGGGACGACACGGACTCGGAGAAAGGAACGAAAATGGTGAGAGATTTGCAAATCTATGTGCCTTCAATAAACTGGTCATAGGCGGGACTATATTCCCACATAAACGCATACACAAAACCACATGGACTTCACCGGATCACACCACACAGAACCAAATCGACCATATCTGCATCAACAAAAAGTTCAGGAGGACGATGGAGGACGTGAGAACAAAGAGAGGAGCTGATATAGCATCAGATCATCACTTGCTGGTCGCCAAGATGAAATTGAAACTCAAGAGGCACTGGACAACGGGGAGGACAATATCCCAAAAGTTTAATACGGCTCTTCTTCGGGATACTGACAAACTCAACAAATTCAAGATAACCCTCAGCAATAAGTTCCAGGCCTTTCATGATCTACTCAATGGAGAAGGAACTACTATGGAGAGCAACTGGAAAGAGATAAAAGAGGCAATCACTTCAACATGTCATGAGGTTCTGGGCCAAAAGAAGCACCATCACAAGGATTGGATCACGGTCGATACACTGGATAAGATTCAAGAAAGGAGGAACAAGAAAGCAGCAATCAATACCAGTCGAACAAGAGCAGAAAAAGTCAAGGCACAGGCTGAATACACAGAAGTAAACAAGCAAGTGAAAAGGAGCATCAGAACTGACAAACGTAAATATGTGGAGGATTTGGCATTGATGGCGGAAAAGGCTGCCAGAGAAGGAAACATGAGACAACTGTATGAAACAACAAAGAAACTCTCTGGAAATCACCGTAAACCAGAACGACCAGTGAAAAGCAAGGAAGGCAAGATAATCACCAACATTGAAGAACAACGAAACAGATGGGCAGAACACTTCAAAGAACTCTTGAATCGACCAGCCCCACTGAACCCACCCAACATCGAAGCAGCACTCACGGACCTCCCAATTGATGTTGGCGCACCAACAATTGAAGAGATCAGCATGGCTATCAGACAAATCAAGAGTGGCAAAGCAGCAGGACTAGACAGCATTCCAGCAGAGGCACTGAAAGCAGACGTAGCGGCAACTGCAAGGATACTCCACATTCTCTTCAGAAAGATCTGGGATGAGGAACAGGTACCAAAAGACTGGAAAGAAGGACTTCTAGTCAAAATACCAAAGAAAGGCGATCTCAGCAACTGTGACAACTACAGGGGAATCACTCTTCTTTCAATACCGGGAAAAGTCTTCAACAGGGTATTGTTAAACAGGATGAAGGACTCCGTTGACGCACAACTTCGAGACCAACAGGCAGGATTCCGTAAGGATAGATCGTGCACAGACCAAATCGCAACTCTACGGATCATTGTGGAACAATCAATTGAATGGAATTCATCACTCTATATCAACTTCATCGACTACGAAAAAGCATTTGATAGCGTGGACAGAACAACCCTATGGAAGCTTCTTCGACACTACGGCGTGCCTCAAAAGATAGTCAATATCATACGGAATTCCTATGATGGATTAAACTGCAAAATCATGCATGGAGGACAGTTGACAAACCCCTTTGAAGTAAAGACCGGTGTCAGGCAAGGTTGCTTACTCTCACCCTTTCTCTTTCTCCTGGTGATCGACTGGATCATGAAGACATCAACATCTGAAGGAAAGCACGGGATACAGTGGATAGCTAGGATGCAATTGGATGATCTAGAACACACAGATGATCTGGCTCTTCTATCGTATACGCAACAACAAATGCAGGAGAAGACAACCAGTGTAGCTGCAGCCTCAGCAGCAATAGGTCTCAATATACACAAAGGGAAAAGCAAGATTCTTCGATACAACACAACATGTACCAATCCAATCACAATTGACGGAGAAGCTTTGGAAGATGTAAAAACCTTTACATATTTGGGCAGTATCATCGATGAACACGGTGGATCTGATGCAGATGTGAAGGCACGGATTGGCAAAGCAAGAGCAGCATATTTACAACTGAAGAATATCTGGAACTCAAAACAATTAGCAACCAACACCAAAGTCAGAATTTTCAATACAAATGTCAAGACAGTTCTACTGTATGGGGCGGAAACCTGGAAAACTACGAAATCCATCGTCCAAAAGATACAGGTGTTTATTAACAGTTGTCTACGCAAAATACTTCAGATCCGCTGGCCGGACACTATAAGCAACAACCTACTGTGGGAGAGAACAAATCAGATCCCAGTGGAGGAAGAAATCAGGAAGAAGCGCTGGAAGTGGATAGGACACACATTGAGGAAAACACCCAACTGCGTCACAAGACAAGCCCTCATATGGAATCCTCAAGGTCGAAGGAGGAGAGGAAGACCAAAGAATACATTACGCCGGGAAATGGAGATAGACATGAGAAAAATGAACAAGAATTGGATGGAACTAGAAAAGAAGGCCCAGGACAGAGTGGGTTGGAGAATGCTGGTCGGCGGCCTATGCTCCATTGGGAGTAACAGGCGTAAGTAAGTAAGTAAGTAAGTAAGTAAGTAAGTCAAGAATTATTTATAATACATATTCTTTCCTTAACTTCTGTGATTAAATATTGTTACACGCACTAGAATATACGCAGATACACACGATAGTCTCACGAAAGTTATCTTGACTTGAAGAAAATGATATTGACATGGTCATATTTGATTGTTTTGTGTGATTGCATCCTTATTGTATAACTGGATTATTATCAGAAGGGGTTTTGTGGTTAAGACTAAGCGGCCGTCCAATGCTTCCAGGTTTTTCATGGTTGTCTAGCTTCAACTGACTCATGATCTTAACTGGATTATATATATTTTATTTTTATCATAAGCTTTCATTTGATGTATTGTCTACTATCATACGATTTACCATCCTTAATTTATTCTCAATCTATTTGTTATGGTCTCCCATACTCACAGTCACTTTTGAGTTGATCATGTATAATTATTATTTTATATTTTATGGTGTAATGTTGTCTGATCTGCTTGTATATAGACTACGTAAGAAGAAATATAGCATTCATACAGTTATATTGTGTTTTGCAGTCAACAGAAAGGGCTAGGTAAGAAGCTACTATATAGAAAACCAATATGGATGTAAAGTCAACTGAAGGCTGTTAGTGCTGGTTGACGTGTCATTGGTTTAGCACAGGTACAAGGTCATAGAAGTCAATGATTTGTTTGGTGATTTTGTTACGTGATGATTGGTTGAAGCATAAGTTAATTTAATAAAGCTAAAATGTGAGTATTTGGAATCCAATTCAGTGGTTTGAAAGTAGTGCGTACTCCGTATGATCTTATTATCCTTGGTTCAAGACCTGGTTGGATCATGAGTGAATGTTTCTTTTTAGTCCAAAAATAGAACATAAAATGTGTTGAGATATAGATGGACTACTGAGTATTGAATAATATCATGTTTGTCCAATCTTTATAACTGATTGTATTCTTTCGATCAAGGACCAGTGTGGCCACCAGTCTAAGTATCTTAATAAAGTTTTCATTATGTATTTGATTTTAGTTATTTAGAGGTGGAGAACAAGAAACACTGGACTTAAGTTGGAACTCATCGGTCAGTCGTATCTTCCGTCTTGAAGGAATCGGTACTTGCCGCCGGATTTGAGTCCGCCTCATCCAACTTTACAGTTTGGTATATTACCATAGAGCTATATGCGCAGCGACTGACCTTCTTTAGGACTGTTGACAGCTCTTGACAGATTTCAGTCAGTGTAAGAAACTACGGAAAATATCTATGTAAAAATATTGTTATTTCTATTCATTGCTGTAAGCCATCATTCAACATACCAGAATCAACTCGAAAGCAGCCAATATTTCACCACCTTTTTTGCGATTTTTCTCGATTGTATACCATTGAAGTACATTTGCCCAAGTGGTTTCTGTGTCTAAACGAACAGCAGGAGTGATCTTGAAACATTTTTTTGAAAAAAGCAACATATACCCAAGTTTTAAAAGTATTATCAAGCAAATACTTGTATACAATTTTTGTCATTAAAAAATTTGTTGGTACTATTTAAAAGTAAATAAAATAATCTATTTAATCTGTACCTCTACAAAATTCATTAGCCGAGCTTTACTTGAATCTCGAGAAAAAAATTTTAATAATAAGTCATAGAATAGTTTTTTTGTATTTCGATAGAGAGATCTAATTGTCTAGTGCAAGTGATCAAATGTAATGGTAGTGTATTCCATCAAATGACAGATTATGAACTAAACACTTCTGATGAGTCGAAAACATAGGTACTACACCTGCTCAGTGTTCTTCGGTTTTCAATAAGTCTCCAGTTTATGACATGTAAACGAAACTATCTCCTAATATGACCAACCAACACAAGACGTTTCACTAAATATTTCAGAGAAATGGTTTGCATGTAATTGTAGTCAAATCATTTATCTTAAAATAAAAATGGGTAGGGGAATCACTTGTTGCAACAGTATAGTAATCGTTACTTAATAGATCAAGAAAGGCAATAGGTTGTACTCTGAGAGCTATTTAAATGAGATATTTTTTGAAACACCTCGACTTGACTTCAAAAAATATTTAACGATTTCCCTATGTATTCTAAGTAATCAGGTGGTGTTAATGGCGCTTTCATTTCCATATATTGATGTAAGATTATCAGTAAAAATGAAATCAAAGTAAATTTTATGCACATATACTGAGCATAATTACGTATTAATGATGTTTGCACGGTACATAATGGATTCTCAATTCAGTATTAATTATAGTACAAAAAACACCGTGATTAATCGATGAGTTAAAAAAAAGAGTAAAAATAATTATACCTATTAACCAATATATGTAACCTTACCTGTAATCTGCCTAAGAAATGATCTGAACTTAATTGATCATAATCAAATAGCTCAATCATAACTGGTGGTGGATCTGAAAGTATTGTTTTTGGATCACCACACATTTCAATATGCTCAAATATTAATGTTTCATCCCATGTTGGGCATAACGTTTGTTGGATAATTTGTGTTTCTTGGCTGTGCCCTTGAAATGAACATCGCACAAATGGATCAGATAGGCCAGATTGATCAGCTGCTAAAACACTGCGAGCTTGGAAGATATATGCTCGTAAATGCCAGATATGAGAAGCTGCAATGTGAATGAGCAGATAGCAGTCGAAAAGTAGGAGTTATAAACATGGAAGGTAGTTAAGTTATTAAGAAAATGGCTGATTAAATAATGTTTAGATTGCAAAAATACAGCGGGATCCAGATAATCTGTTTCAAGTTAGTTAGCAGTCGTCAGCTGGATGTATATAAATATCATTATCGATCTTTACATTGAAACTTGAACCCAATATATTTCTACCTAAACAACAGTGATTTATTTACTGAGGTCCTGAATCCAATGGGTATCTAGTTTATTTGATAGGTATGATGGGATTAGTAATAGCTTGTAATTTTTGGTTGTTGAGACTACGCATTAATAACAGAAACTGATGAATTCCAGGTTTGAACATCATCAATAAAAAGTCATAAACCTTCGTCATTATCTCGATAGAATTCTAAAAAAAGTTTTTGTACTGTTTTAAACCTGTTTAGTAATGTGCACTAACATTTTTCATCTGAAATTAAAAAATACAACTATTCATTTCGATGAATACTAGACATTTAAACTACGTTGATATTCTCTAACATTCAGCAGTTTTTTTTAAAACTGTCTAAGTAACCTACTACCATCCCTATCAGGTACGTTTGACCTTTTTGAAGTTAATATTACTGACAAAATGTTTGAAGTGTGCATTAGTATGTTAACTGATTTCTGTTAAAAAATACAAACATTTACTACTTACTTCTAAAGCGCATGAACATCCTTGGAACAGTGAGATTCTCTTTCTATAAATATTGAAAACATATAATGCTCAAACCGGTATATGAAAATATGTAGCAGGATTTACAATATATATACATAACTCATCACTATTTGTGAGCTGACACGTTCGCTTTGCAAGTCTACTAAACATAATGAAATTGATAATTATTATGTGGTTTTGAATTATATACACAGTGTTGAATACATCCATGAAAAATGTGGATAATGTTGTTGAAATGAGTGATAGTGAAATTGTCGGCGTTGTTTTTGGCAACTTATGTTTACTGAAACCAGTTGATGACCAAGTAGTTCAGCCACTACTATTCACTTTGTGATTAATAATTCAACTAAAATGCTACTGTGATATTTTAACTGTAAACTAATTAAGCCAACGATAAGTTATGATTTATTCATGTTGAGACATGAGTAACTGTTTATCACTGATGCTCGTCGGTCAGTAATTATGTTTAACAAGGCAGATTAAAATGATCGAAACAGAAAAAAACCCTCAATACCATATGAGTTTTATCAGTTGTTAATGAATCTATTCATGAGAATCTGAACTGAATAAACATAAACTATATTCAAAAATGAAGAATATTTGAGAGTTAAGCATGAACCAAATACATATCAATATAGAAAGCTTTTTTTTAATTAGCTATTCAAATCAATGATTAGGCTGAATACAAATAGGTTAAGAGGTTCATTTAGAAAAGAGTAATATTTCAACTCAAATTACCTTGGATGATAACAAGTGAATAGGATGAAAGTAAAATGAAAATCTCACCAAATTTTGTGATGATATATAAAACAACAGCAAGGATATACCTTATTTTTAATATGATATATATATATATATATATATATATATATATATAACTATTGTTAATAATGGTATGAAAAATGGTATATTGGCTTAGAATTTATTTGATGGACATCTAGAAACCAGTTAGCTTTCAAGTTAGTTTCTAATACGTCCTTGTTATTAATTGAAAGACATTAAAACTTAAAAGGCACTGAATTAATGGTTAGATATGGTTTTAAGCCTTACGACCGGTACGATACATTACATAAACTGTTAAATAGATTACAGTACATCTAGTAAAATATCATAATTGATGTTATTAGCGAGATAAACAACACTGATCAAATTGGATAATTGTTGCTCTACAGTTATTTAATTTAAGTTGACATCACAATTTACTCGATTCCAACCAATTGTTTTAAATGTGTCTTGCTCACTACGAGAAATGAAAGTCGTATTTTAGATCATGTGTGCGGGATTCAGTTTCCATTGCTGTAAATTACGAATACAAGACGAGACAACTGGTATTTCACGTTTTGATGACGAGAATTATCTCCGAATTTCAGTATGTACTCAAATCACTAGAATAACCGTTTGACGTTAAGTTTTTTACCGTAGTGTAATTCATTACAGTAAAAGGAAATGAAAGCCTACCATTTATATTTTAATAATTCATTTAAAGACTATGGGGCTTTATTTTTATATAAACCAGACAGATTATCATAAATCTCTATAATCAAGTTCAGTATTCTGAAACTGATCTAATTTCCCATAGGTTATGTAAGATACTGCACTGCACAGAGAGAAGAGTAGAAAGCAGATCCGTATCATATAAAATATAAGACTACTGAAATGAATCAACTAGAAATCAGTTTTAAATATTAAGTAGTTATGCAATTTTATCTATGACCGAAATGAAATCAATACAAACTTCTTCATAAAAAATGTTGGTACATTAAATGATTCAGATCATGCAACATATTCCTGATGAGAAATAGCTAAGTATAGAATGTACAAGCTAATGACATATAGGTAACAGATTATCAAGATAATCAAATTTGATGTATGACTCCAAAGATATGTGACACATGCATAACACAAACACACACGTCCGATGACCATAATGTGATATTATTTGATTGGATGAAGAAACATCCCGGATCCAATCAATGAATAACAAATTGTTAATTAGGGTTGTTTTCAAAATACAGCATGCGTTTATAATTAGGTATTGAGCTCGCTTGCGGAACAAATCTTAAAGAAAACAAAAACACATTTGTGTAACCCAAAGCGTATATGTGTGTAGGTATATGTGTATAAGTTAGTGGTTGATTCATGCATCTCAATCCCGTTTGTAAGCACAACAGCTTGGAATTTTTTTTATATAATTTGGCTTCGGCATTTTCTTTTTCTTTATAATTAACTAACCTTCTTACATTTGGAGATGTGTAAAAACTTCACAATTAAAAATTAATTAATTACGTTAGACAAATAGATATATATGTAAATGTTTACTAAATAAGAGACACTAGAAATAAGCATCCCTACAAATAACTGACTACACCAAGAGATTAAATAGTGGTATATGATCAGTAGATTCTCTTCTTCATCTTAACAACTTAGATTAATTCAAATAAATTTGATCAAATAGTAATAACTACCATGTAGAGTTATGTATGTTCTCCTCCTGTATTTTGAATACAGTTACTTATTTTTCAAACATTGAGAATACTGTCTTAAACAATCATGTTACAATAATCATATATTCATCTTGAATAAGTGTATATGTATCCAAAGTCAGTTAAACCCGTTGACATTACAACTTAGTTTACCATTTAATGAAACAGATTTATTACATGAATCATGATCATCCTATTACAGTTAAACAATTAGTTAGCTTTTCATCTAACAGCTACAGAGACGTCAATATAACACAAAATCAAAGCTCAATGGTCCTGTGTTTGAATTTCCTGTAAGAATCGTAGATCTGCGCAGCTGTAAGTTCAACAATAGAAGAAAAGAATTGACAAGTGCTTTCTGGACATCAATTTTGCAATGAAAAATAAGTTCAGACCGAACAAAAGTCTCTACACATACACCAAATTCCTGAATAAGAATATTGTCGTATATATATATATATATATATATATATATATATATATATATATATATATATATATATATATATATATATATTCCCACCGAACTCAAATTATGTGACTCATTTTCCCCTTGTTTCGTATAAAAACCCTTGAATGATGGACACATTCTTCAGAGGAAATAAGGTTGTATGAAATAAAATAAGCTGAGCATAGTAAACCATCAACAGATCGATTTAGTAGATGCTGTTCAAACTAACTGATGTTTTTAGGAGAACTAGACAAATCAAATAATCCCTCAAGGCCTTTTAGTAAACAAAACACAAGTGTCAATTGGACTATAATGGTGAATAAGTGGATTCAACTTACTAAGGTTACCGAATATGTGTACTCATTTGAATTAGTTTATCTTTTTTGTAGATACCAATGATGAGATGTGAGTACTTTGATACAGAATTAAAAAGCTCAACTTTCTATGCAGTTTTTGTCTTCATCATCCACGTGATCGGGTAAATCAAAAAATGAATATTTTGAAACAGTAGTGGTATTTTTTGAGCTGAAAACCAGTGACATAGTACCTTAGTCAGACTAAAATTTTAAATATGATATCGGATCCCAGCTTAGTGATTTGAAACTTAAGCTCAAGTCAAAACATCTGAATCCCTGACAATCTTTTAGGTGCATACTGCTGAGGAGTGCACTATCGTTAGGAAATTCCTCTCAGTTTTCAATGGTATCCTCATCGATCTTGATATGAAAATCAAACCAGTACAAATTATAAGTTGGGATAGGTTGTTTGATAAGGTGTGTGTATCACTGACTACAAAACGTATAGAATACTTACAGTCAGACGACACTGAACTAAGTTGATCCGACAGCAAGATGAGCGTGCTCTTTTTTTTTATGAATGCTCACAATGTAAACGCTTTCATTTAATATTGAGTAGTTGAATTCACTTCTGCAGATTGATTTCAACCGTGTAACAGAACAAAATAGTAAACAATAATGTTGAATTCATAGTGTAACTTGATCTAATGAATCCCATCAGTACTAACAGGAGTAGACAAATATGAACTTGGTTATTACTAGTACTACTACTACCACCACTAGTACTAATACTATAACAGTGATTAGTCAGTGTGAACAGCTTTGTATAAATACAGTAAGTTGTTAGTTATTACTAAACATTAACTTTTGATTTAAATTTAACTCATAAACTAAACAGCATAAATAACGCACACTGAACAGAATAAAGGCAAGCAACAGCAATGATGTAAACGTTTTGAGGGAAAAAAAACAACTAACAACGTCAAGTTGTGTAGATGCACTACGTTAAAACAATTGTTTTTTTTTCATAAGAAACACACACCGAAAATTATACATGCAAATATTCACTTCGACAAGCCCTTTTAAAATAATATATGTATATATATTGTAAAAACACAGGAACACTTTTGTTCAACAACAAGTGTGCATACTTTTTTCAACTTCATACTACTTTCCTAGAATACAAGAGAGGGAGAGTAGAAGAAGAAAATAAAAGAAACTTAGAGAAATACATGAAATTAATATCTTGAAGTATGGAGAGACAACTAACTATTGATAGGCGTACTAATCTGTTCAGAAGATACGAGAATATTGTTTTATGAATCTCAAGATATATCAAATCTTTATTTCTGGGGATTTTTTTATCTTTTCTTCGTCTCCGTTGTTCAAGGCTTTCATCGAACTCCTTAGAAGTTAGACTATTCAAATACGTTATTATTTCATGTTTATCGTCTTCATATCATCTCTGCTCCATCCCTTCATAATTGTTTTTCATCTCCAGCATAAAATAAACTCCGAGTTGAGTAAGTCTGAAGAACAGTGAGAGGGGTCTAGCGTAGTCTTCGACCGGTGACTGAGGAACCTAAGGTACACAAGGACACCATAAACACAGACGCTTTATCGGAATCAAAAACACATATAGATTGTAAACCCGCTATCGGAAAGCATAAGTGATCGGGCACTTTTGATGTTCCTAATAACAGAGTTTAACAGTTTCGATGTATCACAGATCGAGAGAGAGTGAACAATATAAACGCTTAGGGTAACAATTTATTTAATTAATTGAAGACGTTTATTCTTGAAAAAGAGATGGACTGACTGTACCCTTTAAAAAAGCTTGACTAATTTCTATGTCTTTTTAATCAATAGTTGATATTTTTTCGATAATCTAAATAAGCCCGACTATTGTTTTCGGTGTATAAGCCGATAAACTTTGTTGTCTTGTACAATATTCAATAAGTTAGCAGTAATCGTTTTTTGAAATCGAGTCCGTTGATGATGTTGGGTGGTCGATTTGATAACTAAATGTTGTCACTTTTGAGTTGACTTCAATCACTTCAGAACTATTATGGCAGAAATGGATTATCCGGTATGTCAGAGTTTTGTCCATAAACGTTCACTTTTTCATCCCAACTGACGAACAATGACCAAGACAATACTTGAGAGATATCCAAAGTAACAATCATTTGATTTTTTAGTGAAAATTAAATGCTTTTGATTTTTAGTATTAATAATGATTAGAAAAATCTTTGCGAACTAGCTTGAAACGTACCACACAAACACACTATACGTGAATTAGTTACTATTGAATAAAGTCATCTTGAGTTCACAAATAACAATACACGGATAGGAAACAGATAAAGTTAATTCTGCATCTAGCACAATATGTCTCACTAAACCAAAAGATCTGCTAGAAGACTGCTATGTGATTATGAATAGTTATCGTAATTTGACAAAGCAACATTCAAAACGTTTGAATAATATATTCTTATTCGTTTAACACCAGAAGAAAATGCCCAGTAAGATTATTCAGTCTAACCAGCAGAACACATCAAAATATGAAACAGAATCGTATCTACATCAACTAGTAACCTTCAATGTTGACTTTTAATTTAACAACTGAATATCAAATTGACATACACTAAATCACATGTATAACCGATAGCACTATGAGTATAGTTGGTATCTTTCCTGACAGGAAAAGAGCATCACGTGATCTCAGGAGACTAAAACACATCTAAAACATAATAAAAGCTACTAACACTGATGGTTCGTGTTAGTTTATCTCCTTGATACGCTGTCATAAAGCTATAAATGTAAGTGAAGTGTTCAACTATGTTTATTAAAATGTGCAGTTAACAATCAAGTTTTCTGTTTATCTTTGAAAATAGCCTACAATTGAAATACTACTCACTTAACCATAAATAGACGTTCGCAATGCCTTTCTTAAAGTAATACTTACCACTTGTTTTGAACTGCCTCGTATTTGTAAGACACATGAACTAGTCTCTGAACTTAGATCTTTTGGTGCTAAAGCACGATGCCAGCGTCTGCGTCGAACCATATCAACTTTACGTTCTTTTGTATGGAATTTTGAGTCGAAATTGAATGCATACTCCCATGCTTCTGCTGGTTCCGTACTTAAACTTTGCTAGGAAAAAAAAGTTATTAAAACAAAACAAAATTTTTTAATTTACTTGATATCATGGCGATAGGTTTACACCAATAAGGTTTTAATGTTGTTGGTTAGTTCTAAAGAGTAAGAATTAATTATTCGTCTATTTTTTTAAAAATTATAACTTAAATAAGATATACATGTAAACGTATAAATCTTTAGGATTGTTAACGTTTGAACTCAATAAAATGACCACTATTTATGATACGATGACCGAAATCTTACTGCCTTGTGAGAAGTTATCACTGACTGGCTTTGAGAGGTGGCTTCAAAAATTTTTGTGAGGATCCATGACTAATAGGGTACAATAGTGTCAAGTGTGAGTAATGTACTCATTGAAAACAGATAGATAAAGTTACGCGATTTCGCAAATTGATTGAGGTTAGGCTTGCATATTACTGGATCTCGGTTCAGCGATCTAGAAGTCAAACATTCGCACGCGAGACCAATAGTCCCAGGCTTGATCCCTGGTGACCGGGTATTTGGTGGACTTTGTTGTGGAGTTCCACACTAAAGAGAAACGGTTATCTAGTACTTTCAAGTATTCAGTGGTTGTTTGGATGTAATAGGTTGGTTATTTCACTAACATCACAAACGTACACGTATTTAGTTACAAGTTAGGAAATGAATTCATTAGAAACACTAAGTTTATTGTCACTATAAGTCAAATTTATCATTTTATTAATAAATTATTGGCAACATTAAACAGTCAGAGGCACAGAATGCCCTTAAACCTAGATTAAATGGTGATTAAAATTCATCGGTAAACAATGATTTTTAGAAGTGATTTTCTACTCGAGATCAGAATTCGAACCTTGTTATACCATAGCCAGAAATGCTTTTGTTTAGTTCAAACATCTCATTCGTAGAGTGCGGTTAATCCTGACTAAATCAATTCACTTTGAATTTCCGCTAGTACATCAACTGACTATAGAGTGGAGATCTTTATTATTCCTGAGTGGTAACCAGATTGAAATCTATTTCAATTGCCACCAAATACGTAACATCCTGAAAGTTATAACACAATGTTAATGTACTTAGATTAATGACCCAAGTGTCATATGAGTTGTGGGAATCTAATATAACTATGAAACATTAGATTAGTGCCAAGTTGATTGTGTTCTACTGAATTTGTCTATTAGCTAAATCCAACTTCACTTTTTTTAGTCTGTAATACATTCACAATGCCGAAAGAACTTTGATTTGTAAAGATTTTTTTAACATCCCAATTTATTCACAATTGAAACAGTCTCTTGTGAGAAAGTTTTTCAAGATTAAATGGAAGATCATCATTCAGTCAAGTGTATACAACAGACAAACGTCTGTCCATTGTTTATGATTTCCATTCGACTTATTGGAAATATTGTCTAGTAATTGGGATATTTCCTATAGAATTCGAACGTAAGATATTTGAGTGAGATAGAAACGTTACTGTATATGACAGGCTTCATACTTTACGTCATAAATCAGTAAGGTAGAGAAAATTGTTGTAACTACTAATCAATGGACAAATAGAGATTGGTTTTTAGCTACTGACCAGTTAGTATAAATAATTTATTTTACCAATATTTAGATATATATGCTGTTCATCTTGCTTACTTAATTGTTTTCTTAGCTACAAGCCACATATAATTCATCTCACTATATTTCAGTTCTTCTCATAACTCATACACAGAACTCATTAAAACATTGTTGTACATCAGCACATATATATGTAATTAAGTTAAAGCATTAGTGACAGCGCTTAAAACGAATCAGCAACTTAAATAATGATTAACATAACATTATTCTACATAATTATGTATCGTTAGGCGAATACAACCCATTAGATATATAAAAAAGTAAGCAACGAATATACCGTGTATGCACAATTTGTTCAAATAAATTCACCATGTTTAGTAAAAGAACGGACGTTACAGCCATGTTTATTTGGACTAGTAATGTGATAAGATATGTATGTATATATGGGTTAGAGTAGATAATAAATACTGTATATGTATTCATACATGAAGTTAAAATAAACTATATATATATATATATATATATATATATATATATATATATATATATATATATACTTTGAACATGAATTCGTATTAATTATTATTTTGTAAGCTACTTGGTTGCGAAACTTACTAATAATGATAAACGAGATTGCTGAACAGAAATTTAAATAAAAATACAAATTGTAGAAATAGTGGTCGATGGGTAAGATTAAGTTGTAATGTATGGGTTAGTTAAACCACGTTTTTGCGTTTTAGATTAACAGTCTACTTGATAATGTACAAAAGTAACTGAAATAGGTATAGGTAAATAATCAACATCATTCAAATGCATCTGAAGTTTAAGAAAAATTCGTCGTATTGGTATTCCGATGGATTAGTATAGACATTGTTAATGGGAGCAGAAATAATTTAATGCATAATCCAAAGATTCAGGACAATGGAAAAGCATGGCATTTGTCATTTATAGTGATATTTTCTATCACACAGTTGTATATTGTCTTATGGACAGATCCAGCCTACCATAATTGAAATGACATTAACATGGTAGTTTTTAGTGGCTCAAGATCTAACTCCAGTTAGATCGCACGAATGTTATTAAAATACACATGTCTATCCTCGTATATAATTATCAATATAATTCGCGTTAGCGAGTAACGGAATTAAATAAGCCAATTACGAGAGTGAATTTTTGAATGCGTATACTTTGTACACTTATTAATCTGGACAGAAAATCAGAGGAACAAAGCGAAACAACGCGCGGTGGAGTGAACGTGTGAACCAACTTGATTTAACCAAGTAGTAATCAATATTTATAGTCACACAAAAATAAGCTACAGAAATATGATGAGTAGGATAAGCAATGTACACACACATACGTTATATAAACAGTCACGGTTGATTAGTGAATAATTAACAAGGTCAAAACGCCATTCATGAAGAAGGGATAAATTGGCCTATCCAGAATCTAGAATAAGCTGTGTAGGCTTAATATAGTAACCGACACTACATAGCCCCCTTGTAGAAAAAAGCACATTTATTTTTTTTTTAATGTCTGTTTTCGAAAATAACACTGAAGTGCTATATGGTTAACGTTAACGATTATAAAAATAAATCGTTCTATACCTGATAAATTACAGTATCACGCGAGGGTTGAGTGTATTATACGAAAGTGTTTACTTATGTAAATGAATATCGTAAACATGCGGATAAAAATGGCAATGTTAGCATGCAATTATGGGCAAGTTAATAAGCGTATAAAAAATGATATTCATTTATGTCATGACTGACTAGATTATAAAGTAACATATTCGTAAGAGCGATTCGAAGTACGGTGAAAAGAGTAATAAATCGTTCATAGATTTGACAGTGGAACAACTCGTGATAAGTAGGGTAGAAAATAACAGGAGTTGATCTGTGGTGCAGACTGAATATGAGAATAGAGAATACTGAAATACGAACATGTTCTAATAAGCCGCACTTCAGTAAATAGCGTCGATTAGCTATTATTGGTTTTGCATTTACATACAAGAAGTTTCTGTTTGTAGGATAAGGCCAATCAAGCCGTGAAATAATAAATGCATCGATAGATGATATTCATTGCTGTACTTACTTACTTACTTACTTACGCCTGTTACTCCTAATGGAGCATAGGCCGCCGACCAGCACTCTCTAACCCACTCTGTCCTGAGCCTTCATTTCTAGTTCCATCCAATACTTGTTCATTTTTCTCATGTCTATCTCCACTTCCCGGCGTAATGTGTTCTTTGGTCTTCCTCTTTTCCTTAGGCCTTGAGGATTCCATGTGAAAGCTTGCCATGTGATGCAGTTGGGTGGTTTCCTAAACATGCGTCCTATATACTTCCAGCGCTTCTTCCTGAATTATTCCTTCAGTGGGATCTGGTTTGTTCTCTCCCACAGTAGGTTGTAGCTACTATTGTCCGGCCAATGGATCCGAAGTACTTCGCGTAGACAACTGTTAATAAACACCTGAATCTTCTGGATAATGGCTTTCGTAGCTTTCCAGGTTTCAGCTCCACATAGTAGGACTGTCTTGACATTTGTATTGAAAATCCTGATCTTGGTGTTAGTTGCCAATTGTTTTGAGTTCCAGATGTTCTCCAGTTGTAAATATGCTGCCCTTACATCTGCATCAGATCCACCGTGTTCATCAATGATGCTGCTCAAATATGTAAAGGTTTTTACATCTTCCAAAGCTTCTCCGTCAATTGTGATTGGATTGGTACATGTTGTGTTGTATCGAAGAATCTTGCTTTTCCCTTTGTGTATATTGAGACCTATTGCTGCTGAGGCTGCAGCTACACTGGTTGTCTTCTCCTGCATTTGTTGTTGCGTATACGATAGAAGAGCCAGATCATCTGTGTGTTCTAGATCATCCAATTGCATCCTAGCTATCCACTGTATCCCGTGCTTTCCTTCAGATGTTGATGTCTTCATGATCCAGTCGATCACCAGGAGAAAGAGAAAGGGTGAGAGTAAGCAACCTTGCCTGACACCGGTCTTTACTTCAAAGGGGTTTGTCAACTGTCCTCCATGCATGATTTTGCAGTTTAATCCATCATAGGAATTCCGTATGATATTGACTATCTTCTGAGGCACGCCCATTGCTGTACTGCAATTGATAATAATAATAAAATGCGAAGTCAGTGTACGTTATGGCAGATGCATCGAGTTATTGTTAAATATGTATTAGTATAGGAACAGGATAGTGACTAGGAGATGAGATAAGCGGCGCCGTATTCCTTTTTGATCGTGAAGCCTAGCGTGGTTTATGTCGTTTAAGGGATTTTCGTTTGTTACCAAACCGTACTAAGGCATGATGAAAAATACCAATACATATTATCGATGTTGACAAGTGTATCCTTTTTGTTCTGACATGCAATGTGGCTGAAATAGAATATTAATTTCAGTAACTGAATAATGTTTATGGGTAATGAATGATGCAGCATGCAGTTATTCATGTGGACAAATAGATAAGATGAACGTAATCTTTACTAATCAACTAGTAGAGTTAGAGACATCCGCAGACATAATATGACGTAATATTGGAACAAAAGATTTATGGTATGATAACATAGAAAAATAACCTCGAATAAGCAAATGAGTGTAATAATAGGCCAAAAATGACATGGAGAAAAATGGGACGAACTCACTTAAAGGCAGGAATTTCTTACGTTATTGAATAATAAAAATATAGTCCAGTGAGTTTCGAATGTCATAACGTTAATGGAATGTTACTAAGATTATAATTTGATGGTTGAGTGATTTAATTGCATAAATGTCATGAATTAATGTCAACACGAACAGCAATAATAAAACCACGTTAGGTGATAATATGACATACAAATGATGTTACAGATAAGATAGTTTCTAGTTTCACAAATATGATATTGAGATAAGTTGTGATTGAATTTTAATTAACACAATGATTAGAGGCTGTGGTAAATCTTCAGCAAATGTTTTCCAGCTAATAATCTACTTGTTACAAGAGAAAACTTCATCTAAAAGACCGATTATATCAGGGTTACATGAAATTGTTTAAGAGTTAAAGTAATTGAACCAAGGAATATCATCTGATATTTTCTAGTAGATTTAAAGAATATCCATCTTCAAATTGATTATGTGAAAATAATAACTTCTGATAAACAAATTAATTTTTAAAAAAAAGTAAATTAGTCTATCTACTTTGCAGATGCATTTTTATTGTGCTTAGAACATTTAGTTGACTCAAATTAGTTGGTATTTTTAGAATTTATTCAACTACAGATTGAATTCCATGTAAGTAATTCTAGACGATTTTATTAAGTCTTAGCTTATACTGGTTTTCTGATCGCCAACCCTCTTTAACATCTTGTAAACTATTCGCTGTTGACTTTAGTTAATGACCAACAACTAAAGAATACAGTATCGACTGAAAACCTATAGATCATTTACATGTTTATGGATGTTGGTGTTTAGTTTCATTATCATCATCACCATTATCATAAATAATTATAAATGATTGAGATACTTTGTTCACGCCGAATGCCTATGTAGTGAACAGAACACCAGTGGCGATAATCGAATATATTTGACACAAAATTACAGGACTTGTTAATAAAACCTAATAATCATATAGTAAATGCTTAATTTGTAAAATGTCCATCAATTATCTCAAAATGACTCAGACTTCATTGTTCTTGCATTTTCATACAAACTGCATTCTGTTTCCATTTTTTACTGTTCGGTCCTCTTAGCTCCCTGCTGCCAGACATTCTGTTCACGACGAATATCATATATTACTTATGTCGACACAAGTAGCACACGCCACACTTATTATATATTCTTGTTTAATGTTTAGAAGTTAAAAAGTGTATTGAATTTGTTATTAATAAGAGCTATTTTAAACAAGCTTTACATCCTATGCTCAATAGAGAACAATGACGGATAGTGATCCATTTATTTTATTTAGAAATAATTATATATATATATATATATATATATATATATATATATAATAGTCTATTATATTATAAAATGAATTTTAAATGCTCACTAGCATAATAGTTAAATCCTCTTTAAGGTTGAAATATGTTGATCGATTAAAAACTAACTGTATTACCATCTTAACTACTGAAAATGATTTGAGGAATTAAAAAAAAATTTTTTTAAACAATTTGAAAACAATGATGAAAATGATAAAACAAAAAGAAATCTGGTTAAAATCAATACATCGATGATCAACTTGAAATGACAGAGTATCCTAGAGTAAATATTTAAGAAAAAAAGATACCAACAGTTCACAACCTGTTAGATAAAAACTTGAAACTGTTTAGTTTGAAGTTTTGCAGTTTACTAACATCTAACATTCTCAGCATATAACACACATCAAGAAATAGTTCAGAGAAAATATATAAATTATAACGAAATAAACACTTTAAAACATGCTGTAAACTAAAATATGTTAGATATTATATATATATATATATATATATATATATATTCCACTACACTGATGTAAGCATGTACAAAGGCATATACATGTATAAATAACGATTCACCTCGATATGAGATGTTACACAGTCATGCATACGCATATGTAACATACACATACAGACACAAAACCTTACTTGATCATGTGCTATCACTTGTCTTAGTACCTATATTCAAAAGATTTAGTAAGTAAATAAAAATCATATTGATGATTCATAGAAAAACTTCACGGTGAAGATCAATTCATAAGTAATCAGCTGCTTCTTAGGGAGATTCTTTACTGTTAGAACAAAAATCAGAATTGATTCTGGTAATATTTCATACAGAGATTGACCAATGGATGTATGAAATAAATATCTTTCACAGTAAGCTGAGACAATAACTAATCGAAAAAAAAATCAGATGAAAATCATGCAGTTCCACAAATTATTTGACGGTAATGATCTGAGCCATTCGTTGAATTATATTTAAATGGGTTAGTAAGATAAGTGACGGTGAAACCTTAAAGAGATAGATTGAGTCTAGCAAGAGGTCGCTGGTATGCAGTCATTATGAGTCTCAGGTATGAATATAACTGTTGTCTATGATTTTCAGCAGTTATGTAGATAATTCATGACTTAAATGTAGACCATCTTGAAATTAATGATTTTTATGATTTAAGGATTGAGAGTAGTAATAAAAACGAGAGAACAATGGGTGTCTGTTCCGTTCTAGCAAGAGATTCAACAACAGTGTTTACCCAAAAAACTGCCAGGGTTTGAACTTAAGACCTTCAGGTCTCAACTATTAAACTATTGTTTAGCATCCAGTGGTGTACATTTATAACTTCAGAAACTTCGGTAATTACCCATTTCTTAGATTTCCACGTACGGTTATCACACCATTATTCCTATTTGTATCAATAAATCTTATACACAAACTAACTAGAAACGGAATGCAGTAACACATAATTCTCGATTAACCAGTTGTATTCACGGAATTTAATTTTCATAATCGAACTTTTGTATATAATAAAAGCATCAAAACTTGAAAAATCAATGTTTATTAGTGAATTCGGAAACATAGGGGTGAAAAATATTAGGTAAACAAGATAATGTCATAAACAGTAAAAATAAGTGATAGCATCATTATACAATATAATTTAGAATAAAATTAATTTTTAGTCATTTATTACAAATTTCATAACCTAACTTCCCTGCCAATTACTTCATTTGATTAGATTTTACATATATAAAAAGGCATCAACCATAGCCACAATGTCTGACGTTGGCCTTCAAATTTTCCTTTAGAATTACAAGCCTAAATTCAGAAATTTTGTAAGCATTTATTCATTGTTTTTAATCCAATTTATCTGTTGTAACTTGAAACTGTCTACCGTAAGGTCTTGAAATGGGAAGATGAATTCATTTTAAAGTACTGGAAATCTTACTTATTATTGCTTAAAACTGCCACAGAGAATTAAGGATACGAGATCCAATGGAGATTATCATAAAATTTTCAGATCTATCAAATATAATCATTATCATTATTACTATTATTACCAATTAGAGGCTTTCATTAAAAAAATATTATTAAAATTAAGAATTTTTGAATATGATACTCGAAGATTTCACACTATGTACGTTGGATTGGGATTAAAAGCGTCCAAAATATTGAATAAAATAAAATTGCTTAATATTAAGAAAATAGGGTCTGTGATCAGTGAACGGTTGATGATATTTAGACATGAATTCTAAAGAATCATAATCATTCGTGTTGAAACATGCTTATCATCTTTTTACGACTTTTTAACATTAGTGCACAAAACCACAGTATTATCAAACAAAACTTTAGTAATGTACTCACTTCTTGTTTAACAGGTACACCAACATCACCAAGTATCCGCGACCGTATTAATCGTCGCCTACGAAACATATGATAAAGTTTTTCAGCTGCAACATAACCACCTGTAGATGCTTCTACGGTATACTCAAAACCGTCTTCATCACATGGACGATTGTAATCAATTTTCCAATCGTCAGCCCATGTCCAGCCACTTGGTAGTTCAACTGTTTTTGGTTCACCTTTTACTTCCCCTTGTGCATCAGTATATGCAGGTTCGGCAACCTTCCATGGACTTGTTGGGGTACGAAATTCATTATAGAATAATTCTTCAACAAAACTTGTTTTTCCTGCATCCTTAATTAAAAATAAAAAATGGATAAAATAATAGTTACTGTCAATGGGGAATAATTGATGCGAATTAAATTCTTACCTAATAATTGACTAATAATACTGTTAGCAAAAAACATCAATATTCTGATTAAATTAAATGCTCAATGTATGGAATGTGGTATGGTTAAAAATTCAAACAATTTTGTTGTTTATTATTTTGTAATTTCTATTAGTTAGTCAATTCATAAAATGCACTCATATGATTGGTGTTCTGTAGAATGAAACGACTTATATGGGCAGAAATTTAAACAAGGTTTTATTAATGAAATATGTGATGTTGTCAATATTAAGTTAGTTGTTATCCAGTTATTGATAATGTGTAAATGTTACTTATCAAAACAATTTTAGTTACAGAAATTACAAGAAAATTGTTTAGTTTTCCTACGCATCATTCTTTGATTGAATTATTGCATTTTCTTGATTGGGATTATGAACCGACTGATGTTAGACCACCATTACAAACCTAGAAGCGCTGGACGGCCGTTTCGTCCTATTATTGGACTCCTCAGAAGTGTTCATCTACGAACCCAGGACCTTCAGTCTCGCGCGCGTACGTTTAACCTCTTGATCACTGAGCCGGCCAGCATCTAAAGGTGTTAATGTCTAATCTAAACCAAACCACGAAATCGCGCAACTATCTTCCATTGTACTGAGGTAGATGCCTGTCTCTACGGGACATGGATTAGCTTTTTCGACTAGTAAATTGGTTTGTTAAGCAATCTATTGTACACATTTAATTTGTTTGCATATATAATGGAGCTTGAAATGATTCCTTCATCAATTGACTCGCTTATTTATTGTTAATTAGTAATAAGATCAGGTTTAAGTGTTGTTGAATTTAATAAATTTATTTCTATTTAAAATTTATCACCAGTTTTTTATGATATGAAGATATGTGCTTCTGATATGTTCACAAAAAGACTGTAGAAAACCTCATAAAATGAGAAATGTACCTTCTACCTTTTATACACATTAACAATAATGCAAAAGATATCATCAATACAACTAAAAATATGACCAGTTTACATGATTCGTATGACTTTCACTTCTTAACAAAACCAATTACAATATTAAGTTAATTATTAAATTACACTGTACCATACGACTCCCGGTTTAATCATTATACAATAATATTCGAAATGTTTATTCATTCACATCACGATGTAAATATTTCAGTGATAAAATGATATTAAGGATGGTTCATTTACTCAGAATACATTTTAGTCTCTGTTTAAAGTTTTTAAACTATTATATTCTATTGTCCGATTCAGTTTAAACGTTTGCTTACCAAACGCCTGACCAGACCACTGTTTGGAGAATGAAATCTTGGACTCCCTAGGTAGCCATATTGAGAAAAAGAAGATACAAATGTACTCATCTCTATTGTACATATATATTCCTAAACTGACCCAAACACACAGATATAGATGATGAGATTGATCAGAGGAGTAATCCGCTCATACACATATAATAGTTCATATACACTAGTATATTTTACTCACAATGAAAAATTGGAAAAGCATAAGATCTGTCTCGTATTTTAGTGGCTTATTATGAACAGAGTTTTCTTAGTTAAAATAAGTGAAAATTTACCTTTTTATTGATTTTAAGTAAATGATTCGAAATGACTTCTAAAGTTTTGTGTTGTAAAAAGGAAATTTGATGCTCACCTTTTTATAAAGCAACGATAACTCTGGACTAACATACCAATCACCAACCCATTCCCAACCTGTAGGTAATTGAATAGAATCCTTGGGTAATTCAATTCGGCCAGTATTATCAGACCATGATGGACGTGTTAACGGTGGTCGTTTCGTCACCCAATTACCAACAATTGATGCTTGATTTTCATACTAAATATTAAAGAATATTAAACGCAGACGCATTTCATAGATATTTTGTTCAACAATCCTGGTGAAAACTAATATTCTTCAGTCACCAACAGTATACAGTAGACCGATTGACTTTAAAAACAAAATAATTTTTATTACCACAAACAGTTACTTCAGTTCTGTAAGCTCGCTTAACATCATAACTGTGGTTATCTAAAGAGACTGATGAAATTTGGTCTGAATTCATCTAGATTCATTGCTAATAGGGAGTTTAACCTTGAACAAATATGATGTGGGTGTTCCATGGCTAAATTGTTTCTATCTGGTTGGTAAGTACTGACAATTGATGTTAGTTATCATTAGTTGCGTCTGTCAACAGACAGTTTAATGAATGTAAATGATTTACGCTAATGATCTTGATAGTGACTGAACGGTTTTAGTGTTTGGTGCTTATTATTTTATATACAAAGCATTATGATTACAGGTGATGAATAGAAAGTTCTACTTCTCTGTTGAATATTAGCTAGTCTTTGTTATCGTAGAGTACTTCGAATTTTAAGAGATACACTTTTTTAGACGAGTTTGAAATCAATGCATATAGTGTATCAATCAAGTTACTACTACTTAGCTAATCGTCTGCAACTAACAATCATTCAGTGGTAAATGACCGATAAAATATTGTTTAATCCTTAACACTAATATAAGTTCGGTCAAACAGGATGCCGCGTAATTCGGGTTAGTGATAAATCCTGCAAGAAAAATATACACAAAAATTATTTATTTATTTATTATGAATAACCCATCAACCGCTTGTTGGTTTTCTCTAGCACTCTGTATCATCTGTAGGTTTAACGACATAATAATGGAGGTCAACCGTATACGAAGTGATACAAGTATTACCAATTGCGTTGGATAATCATAATGCAATATCTAAAATTAACTGATAGTAGAAATGGGGACCATTAAATTCCAACCTAATGATTGGAAAAATACTGGGTCCTTTCGAACCGGGGGTACAATATGGGACAAGATATTCATTTAGTCCTCATGTGTTTTTCAGCAGACGATGCATGTCGAGGATAAAAACCATCTTCGAATTGAGCTAATCTTCACACCTTATCCAAATGTTCAAGATAAGTGAATGCTATTTTTACAAGGACAACATAAACAAGACGCTATATTGTTAACTTGTTTTCATACTAATCGTTATAGTTAAGGATAGCAGTTGATTGATCGATATGGAATTTCGTATTCTCAAATTTAGCTGTTCATTTTCATCTTATAATCAAACAGCTTTCCGAGAGTTTTTAACATGTTCAAGTCTGCTAATAACAAGCTAAGTTTGTTTCTTTGTAAACAGTCTGATTTCCGTTTTAATGACATTCAATCTATTCACAAAAGGGGATGTAATTCTGAAAGTAAATATGGTGTGTTTTCTTGTTTAATGAAGTATGTTGAAGATTGTCATGTACTGATTGTACCAAAATTATTAAGGAAATAGATTTCCGAATAATGATGTTAGAGAAATAGACTGAATAGCAATTAGTTGGTGAATAATGGCACCCTATCGATGACCTTGAATTAAATAAATTAATGGACAAACATATATCTATAAATTATATATAAATGTCTGACGGCATAATTTATGGAATCATCGTGCTCTCTGTGTAAATTTGTCATTTCAGTTTATCCTATTTTTACTGACTGGACTTGACCAGCATATTGTTATCATGTAACACAGTCTCACATTATAGCTAATTTATGATGATTATCAAACAAAAAAGTGAACCAGTAATAAAGTTGAACAGGCGAATATAATTAACATACCGTTTCTGCAACAACTTGGAGTTTTGCTTCAGTATGCGATTCTGTCCATGCAGTACGGTCCTTTTCTAAACCAAACCATACAACAACACGTAACTGAGCCGGAATTTTCCATTCTGGCTTGTTTTCATCTTTCAATAAGGTGGGTTTCTGTACACAATTATATGCAACAATATATGAAATGAAACATATTCAAAACTGTTTTTTATGAGAAAATTTATTCTTAAAGATGATCCCCATAGGTAAGTTATTTATAATCATGATGAGACGAAAACGTTTTCGCAGTTCTAATACACTAACCTTTTGGTGAAAACTCAGGGGATGGTTTCGTGGATATTCTTCTTTTAACTTTTAATTACTAAAAAGCACTGTATTAGTCAATTCAGTTTTGAGAGTTATCATTTTATCAAGTCAACAGACGACCGCAGTCATCATAATTAAAACGCACTTTTTCGTCCGTCATAAGAGTATGAAATACTTCTCTTTGAAAAAACGTAGTTTTGTTATTCGTTAAAGTAGTGTGAAAACACAAAAATTTATTGTTAATTAACTCAGTGAAATAATAATAATGTCCTCATTAGTGGCTAAGCCCGAAGCAAAATTACCCATGTTCAAGTGAGAAGTTGTAGTTAAGAGTTCAGTCATATGGCAAATGAAATAGTCATCACAAAAGGCCCTGAATGATGACCATGATCTAAAGGTAACACAGTTTGTTTCAAACTAGACTGTCCTGGATTCAATACCCGGAAATACAGTAGGTGAACTAAAGGAAGGTGTTCTAAAATAGAATGACCGAGCTGTCCAGTACTCTCTGTTTCCTAGTAGTTTGTCTATTAAAGTTAGTTTTTGATGAAAAACATCTATCACATTGAACTAGTTTCCTATAATCTCCTCAACTGAATAAAAAAAATATAATTTAAAGAGAACATACTTTTAAATTGATTGTTTGTGCTGTACCACATTTTAATCCGCGGTAATCTTCGTTGTCATGGTATAACACTTCATGAGCTGGTATTCTGTGATAAGCTATACGCTTACCACCGCTTAACATCCATATTATAATATCTGGTATACTCATTTGTGGCTGCATATTAAGTGAAAATGATAGACGTATAAATATATTTGTACTATTTAGGTATTTTTAAATAAAGTTATGTGTATTAATACTCCATATTAATATACAAGAACAAACGTTATAAAAAGACATTAGTTTAGACAGCAACAAAACATTTCTTTTTATCTATGAATCACTTTTTACTTCTGAGAAGATGAATGACAAACAGACATTGTAGTGTAAGGTCTGTTATGAATGATGTTCGAACCAAGTGACCGAAGATAATACAATCTGGAGACCTTTAACTTTAATTTCAAATTCACTGAAATAGTAAATCATAATGTCTAACAAATAGTGTCAAACTATGTTCTAAGTTTGAATACGAGTGGCAGAGAATATTTCGTAACACCAAAAACATAAACTATAAGGACCCAGTTTAATGTTCATACTCTAAGCTAAGTTGACAGACGTTTTAAAAATTTCTAATAAACGGTACATTCACGGTAGACTAATAGCGATACTTGTGAAAGTGTAATATTCACAGTTCGGTACTTTCATCAATAATATCAGTAAAGAACGATTCAGGCTACAAGTGCATTCTTATAAGAGTGGGTTTTTAATCATAAGACATGTTTAACACGAACTACCGTAAACGTGATGGAGTAACATCAACCGGAGAATCATTGTGTATCTGGAACTACTGTGTCACTATATAATAAGATATAATACAACGGTCTTTCGATGATGGATTCTGTCTTTATTGTTCAATAGGTCACATTCCTATCGAATTAACTGAAACTAGAAATCTAAACCACTGAGATGAAAGTAGGTAAACTGCATATATTATCCTTTTTTGAAGATATAAAGATTAACGATTCAATCCCTTGTAGGAGTGTGGCCACGCGTCGTTCAAGAGTTTCAAATTATAAAAGAACACCTGCCGAATAATCTGTGATTATCAATGGTTACGCTAGTGATGTTAAATCAAGATGTAATTTCAAAATGAGTAATATTCACATACTCCTTATATTATACACTGATACCACTTACTTCAATCGCCAAATTAAGTATAGTTTCTCGATAAGATTTCAATTCTTTCAATGCATCATCAATTTCAGAGACAGTTTCTCTTGTATTTATTGCTTGCTCACGTAATGTATTTAATTGATCTTCACGTAATTTACGTAAATGTATATCCATTTCATTTTGAGGAATATTCTCAGGTTCCCATTGTGGTAAAGAATGACTGAAATGAAAAAAAAGTTATAATAAATGTCGGAAATTAGTTGTTTAGAATATAAACATTAAAGAATTATTTTTTTAGATAGTAGCTAGACTAGTGAAATCCACGATATGAATTTCGCCATACATGGGATCAACCAGTTAAGTGTGCTTGAACTCCAGGGTTATTATTCGAATATCTTACATTTCCAGTTATCTGTGAAGAACAAAATGCAAAGTAAATATGAATGAAACGAGATATGCAATTTGATATAAAAAAGTCATAGGTTGGTTATCTGTATATTCTTTTGATTTATCGTCTCAAATGTGAAATAAACATTTGCGCTATAACGGTGGTTACGTTGGTGGGGTTTGCCGTATAAATATTTTCTGAGTGCAAACAGTTATCAGCGTTTTTGGTCACTAACATATATTTATTGTTGAGAGTGATCTGTAAAATAATGTTTTTTCACTATTTACAACAAATAATTATTTGTTAGTTCGTAGAGATGGTAGCATTTTCATAATTCACTTAGTGGACTAGTTTTATTTAGGTAACAATCAGAAGAGACTCAATAGCTGTTTCAACTTAGTATGGGGCTTCTCAGAAGTGAGCATTCATGGGGAACGAACTCAGGACTTTCGGTCTCGCAGTAAACTCTTAATCTATAAGCCACTGAGCCGAAAACTAACTCTGTAAATATCTAATTTTAATCGAGTCACGGTATTCCGCGACCATATTCTCATCGCCTTGGATGAATAACTATCGCACAGTTGACCTGGTTGAACTCAACTAGTTATGGCCTCTCACTACTGAGTAGTCTCATACTCAGTCGTAACATCTGTCAAGTGCTTCCCGGTTTTCACTGGTTGTGTAGCTAATATCATTCTTTTATGTAAACTAGGGAAATAGTCAAGTAGTTTAAATGAAGTGACACAAATTTTGATAAGTAATTTACCATCAGAAATATTCCAGTGACCATCTAACATAGCACAACTAAACAGAAACCTTTAGCAGACTTTAAAAACTGTATATTGTCAAAAGATGGTCTAATATTGTCTATTCTGTTTATAAAAATTCCTTGATCACATTACTATTTAGCAACTAGCTGTATTTGCATATATTTTAGTATATACATCCTTTATAGTGGGATAAAAATAGCTTACAAAATAGATGCAAACTACAGTAAGATAAAAAGGAAATCGTTTATTTCATTTCTATTTTGTGAGAAATAACAAACAAATACAACAGCACTTACTTGCAATCCATAATAAATTCATCTAATGAAGAGATTGCCAATTGTGCTTGAGTTTCTATTGGGAGATTCGCTTTAATGGCAACCATTAAATGACTAATTCCTCTCTCCTATTGTTTTATTTATTTGAGAAATAATAATAAAATAATTAGAAATTGATAGAAACACAGCCGAGAAATTTATTGTAGGATGTATTGTAGTGCCGAAACGTCGAACTGGAAATCTGTTTTGTCTGTGTATAGGAATATTCAAAGAATACCCATATATGACCAAAACTAATGATTGAACGCAGGTAGCGTTCCCGACGGTTGTCTGTTCCAAGTTAGTTAGCGATAGAAAAAATCATTTCTAAATAGCTTAAAAATGCTTGAATTTCTTTTGAGTTTTGTTCAACAGCCTCACCATAACTAAGTATCATACATAGATGAATTAAATTACAAGCCAGTTGAGAATATTCAGCTTTTAGTTTTAAATACTAAAAAAAGTATTGTTTAATTATATGCCCTATTCTGATTTACACTTTGGGCATTGTAAATACTTTGTTTTACTATTGATGAGTTGCATATCAGAACAATAAAATTGTTCAAAGCTAGTTGACTACTGTCAGTAATTGGGAAAAGTCACTTGTATATAATAGTTTCAGACAACCTCATATCATCAGATAAATATATGTTCATTCTGATAATCTCCATGTAATCTATTCATAGATTTAGTAAAGATAATTTTACTACTTAAAGTTTACTTATATTATTGTGACGTTGTTTAGCCACATAATTCACATCTATTATTGTGTAATAAACCATGTATACTATGATTTTACTCATTTAATTACTTTTTGTTAAAAAACAATAAAGCTGCGTTTCGTCTTCTCAATTATTACATATGTTAAGTCGTTATTATTATAATGTAATTGTGAATCGGTTATCAATCTACCAAGGCGTATCGATCCACCTTCATATCACTGACATCTCTTGTTCGTCTGTCCCCATGGAACCTTACCAAATGATATACAGACAATTACACCATTATAAATACATCTGTAAATGTTGTCTTACCAAATGGTCAGCAATTCTCAATAATAAATTCACTGCACCTAAACGAAATGATATATCTTCCCATTGAGAATCAACCATAGTGCATGGTTTATCATCACCCCATGGTAAATAGTAGTAATGTAATCCATCTGATACAGGATTTGTTGGTGGTGTCGTTGATGCACATGGTGTGACCGATTCATCCAACTTATTACCATGATTACCGATACTGATTTCAAATTCAATTGGTCCGTCAGATTTTTCTTCAATCATTGTTGCAGATAGAAATGCAACATACAACTGGTATTTTCTTCTTCTTAAGGATTTCTATACAAATTATTATGAAGAAGTAGACAAAAGTCAGGGGTATTAAAAATCAGTTAATTGGTTTTATTTGTATATCTTTATATGTTTTGTAATTACTCATGATCTATCCATCTACATAATATTACACGATTGTAAAGTTAATATTTGTCTTCCTATTTTTAGAAATGCACTGGAGCTGATCCATCATCTAGTCTCATTACCAAAAATTAGGACAGCTAGAATCGAATAAATTGATGTATTTGAATATAGTCCAATACTCAGTTCGATTTCGGTAGAAATATTATTGTCACTTCAGTTCTTATACAGGAAGTAAATGTATCATGCAATCTTTCAACAAACAGAAGCCTGAAACGATGACAATGACAGCCATTTTATTAATATTAGGCATAACATCAATGTGAGAAACAATAATGAACTCTAATGATTAGATTGTTTAATGTACTTTCCATAGAAAACATATAACATCTGATATTTTAAAAAGTATAATACGTCGGCTTAGCGTATGTGACTTAATAGTGATACTTCTATGATTAATACAGTATGTATTCCACCAATGATGTTATGCTTTAAAATATTACCTTTGATAAAAAATTTTGAAAAAACAACATAAGCCTCACTTCACTAAGAGCTATACCACAAATGTTCAGTAAAATTAATTTATGAATTATGTAACCTTACTAATTTATATGTTCCCTTCCTTTACGTACCAACCTGACTATACCTGTAAACCGGTGTGGATTCTCTAATCCTATTTAATAACGGTTGTGAAAACTGAGGGAATGAAGCTATACTAAGATGTCTGACAACTGGGTACTGAAGACCAGGGAGATTAGGAAAGCTGTTTTGCTATAATATAGAAAACCTCAACAATGTTCGTCCTTGATACCATTAGCAAATGAACCATATATATATATATATATATATATATATATATATATATATATATATATATATATATATATATATTTCAATGGTTAAGATCATGAGTCAATTGAAGCTAGACCACCATGGAAAACCTGGAAGCACTGGAGGGCCGTTTCGTCCTATTACGGGACTTATAACAGCTCACATGCTATTGTGTTTGTTCACATCTAATTCGGGTAAGTCATTTTATTAACCTATTAACGAACTGAGTCATCCGTACAACAATTTATCTACATCATTGTATCCTTATTACTGTGGCGAATGTATGAACATGTATGCTCGGCAAGCCTTACTGCCTACGCATTTATTCACGCTACTAGCTTTACTATTAACCGCTTAATTGACTCGATGATTCATTCATTTCACTATGTATGTATATGTCCATGTTATTCATATTCATCACTCGCTCGCTCTTGCCCTTTCTCTCTCTCGCCCACTCGCTTGCCTGTTTGCCTTTTGGCACAACTATTTCATGCTTGCTTAACGCATCTGTAATTTTGGATATCTGTGTGTGGTCCCATAATAAACTTAATTAACATTTCGTAGTCGCCTTCTGATTAGTATACCGTTGGAGCGTTATTTGGTGACGGTTACCGAGACGAATTGTATATGGAGTTTAAGGAATATATCGAACACCGACCACCACAGACTCCTCAGCAGTGCGCATCCATGACCTCGCTACCTTTAAGATTCGAACCCAGGACCTACTGGCTTTGCGCGCAGGCACTTAACCACTAGACCACTGAGCTGACGTCCAACGGAGGAGTCCCATAATAGGACGAAACGGCCGTTCAGTGATTCCAGGTTTTCTATGGTGGTCTAGCTTCAATTGTCTCATGATCTTAACCATTGAAATTACTACGATCTTCACAAAACCCCTCCTGATATATATATATATATATATATATATATATATATATAAACTTACTTGGATTCTTGCAACTTTATCTTGTTCCAATGGTTTAACCAAATCAGCTGTTGGCTCATCTAACAATTCAGTTGATAACTCTAACAAAACGCGACCACGATATGCTACACCTTGTCCCTTTCCTAAGTTTAATGCTTCGTATTTGTCCGGAAGATCACTGTATTCTCTTGGAGAACCATATAGATTGATAAAACTTGGACCAAATGTTGGTAAGAAACCTGTAAATAGAGATTAGGAACTTATGCATATGTAAACATAAAAAACCAGCATCATGTGAGAGAGCACGAGGTATTATTGTCAAAAACTAAATGATGAAGGTTAGTAGGAACTTTGGGGACTATTCTTCAATGAATGAGTACATATTTCACGTTTTGTTGCACGGACTGACTTTGAGTAGACAACCATAAAGAACTAAGACGCGATCCCCTGTGAAATCGTAGAATATCACTCCTGATGAGTCTCATACTAGGACGAAATATCTGTCTGGGTTTGGGATCCAGTAGGAAAAACACAGGTAGTCTGTTTATGACACGGCCCCTTAATATGATAGAAAAATTTATAAGACTGGTATATGTCGATCCATCACGGATCTTAGAGGTATCGTAACTCAATCGCTTAGGACTTTATAGAATATGGTTCAGAATAGAAGCCTGTTAAATATCATTAAAGCTTCAGTTGAACTAATACATAGATTGACATCCAGTAAAACAATATCTTTAACTGGTACTTTTAGATATTGACTAGGTATTAGTGATTTTAAAGTTGATTTATATTATTATTAATATTGGGACTCAGTAACCAAGCGAACTTTGCATACCTAATTTTTGTTTATTGAAGCTTGAAAGCTAACTAAATTATCCAATGTTTTAGATTACCTCAATTTAGATGTAGGGACTTTTGACCTAGTTGTTGAGTTAATTATACAATCCGCTGGTTTAAACAAGAGCTAGTTTATCAGTTTGGACTGCATATAAACACAAACATATTTACGCATGTAAATATACTTTGCATTGTCAGTAATCATTCTTGTAAAGGCCATGGGAACAAAATGAAATAGGTCAAATGTGTTCGAACAATGATGGCTTCTAGTTAATCGCGGAATTCGACAGGTTTGTGCCCATTTTGTAATATTACCAAGCTCACAAAAATGACGATTCTCGACATTTTGTCTAAAAAATAAATTGTATATTCTCTAGAAGTTATTCAGATTTCAAGCTTAACTTGCAACAATCATATCAACAACATTTCATATTCAATAAAAAAAAAATCATCATTGACACAGAGCTTTAAGTTCTATTTGGTTACCATTCAAGCATCTCAGAGTCGTAGAAGATTAAACAGATGGCTAAGAGATCTATGTTGTCATTTTTAAGTGATGAATAGACCGAATAAAAATGTTATTATAATCCCTTAGTAAAAGAAAATATTTAAAATGAAGTAACTTGGTTGATATGACACATCAGTATTTGTTACTGTACAACTTGAAAATAAATGAAATGGGATAAAAAAAGAATTAAATAGAACACACAACAATTGGATGAGCAAGTAAATATTATTTGACTGATTCAGATTGTTCATAAATAGCATTTTAACAAAATGTCATTTCGATGGAGTTTTGTTCTCTGAGCTGGATGGTTTGGTCGTGGAGCTTTCATCGTTCTTCTGAACGACATCATCAGCACAAACTTCAGATAGAAGTGAAGTGTTCGAATTTCTCCATATGCGTTTCACAGCTTGTTCTGTGCACCTCGATGTTGATTGGTTCTTATAGACCTTAAATTTGTCATTGTTTACTGTTTTGTTTTGGTTTTGTCTCGTATTGGTTTGATTCTTGTTCCTATATTTGTCAATAAGAACCAATCAACATCGAGGTGCACAGAACAAGCTGTGAAACGCATATGGAGAAATTCGAACACTTCATTTCTATCTGAAGTTTGTGCTGATGATGTCGTTCAGAAGAACGATGAAAGCTCCACGACCAAACCATCCAACTCAGAGAACGAAACTCCATCAAAATCATCCACATGAGCTACAAATCTTCTCCACCATCTCAACAAAATGTCATGTTCTAATACAACGACCCCATGAGAAACTTTTAATCATTCAGGTATTAAGTAAATATATACATGCAATATATATGATAACTGAGTAACAAATGCAAACACAAGTGTAAAGGGTATACAAAGCAAGTGCTGACTAAATAATAAACAGAATGACGCAAGCGCATTGTGAATCCATAAACCGAAAATGTATAACTCAGCATACCTTCGCTACCTATATTAATAAAAAATATAGATATATATTAACTTATGGAATTAACTGAATTTTATGACTACACGCACACATAATGAAGCAGTTTATGCATATAAATAAGAAAATAGTGTGCACACCAAGCAAAACTTTAGCTAAACATCGATGATAAGTTAGTTGATAAGGTCAATGATAACTTAAAATTATATAAATATATAAGAAAACAAGTTAACTTGTTAAAAAATAAGTGAGTGAGAAAATGGTTGTCATATAAATATTTGTCACATATACAAAGAAAGAATGTCAAAGATATTTTCTATTCAACAACTGAGTTGGTGATGTGATTCTGTTCCAATTACGACTATTTGATAAATTTGTTTAAGTACATAGTATACACCGGCAGAGTTGAAGCTTCTGGGTTATAACTGTGAACTGCTAAAGTCCGAATATAGTTTGAAATAACTATCTAATGAACTTTGCTTTTCGCCGATTTTTCAACTGACTCGAATTCGCAAGAAAACTATCACTAAAATACTGTCAGTAATAACAGTTGATTTGTTTAGCAGTTACTGTGTTATCATTTTTTTCTAAAGAATCAACCACCTCTTGAATAGCTAATGCTAATGCTTCCTTCTGTGATACTGAGTCTCATGATTGCTGATCTCACGGGAAACAACGTCTCCCTAAATATGACAGAGCCTCATTTCTGACAAGTTCATTAAGCCTGAAACCTATGTGCATTTGTCTCCTTCACCTGCCTTTAAGACCATGGTAAAAGTGAATCTTCTAGATCAGTAAAGACACTACGATATAGTAGATAGAATTCAATCCTCACTCAAGAATGGATAATATGGTACTAAAGAATTTAAAGTAGTCAATTCTTTTACGATGTAACTTATCATATTTTATTAACTTCACTGTTATTCTTTATCCGGATGATAAAATAGTGTTATTTCGCGGAATATGGTATTGTAACTAAGGATTATTTATTTCAGTTAATCTTATTACCTCATGAGTTGTGAGCCCTATAGTACAGTTTGAGAAAAAAGAGGTTCATACACAGTCTTTTGTCACTACATAGTTAGGTTGGCCAATTATTCGGAGATAATGTAACTGGTGAATTCGATCACAAATCATAAATCTAACAACAATCATGGTATACCTTAGTCAAATAATTTGAGTTGATTCAATTACCAATATAGCAGAACGGTCATCGAGTGTTACCACTATAATTATGGTTGAATTATACTACTTGCAATTTTATATTAAACTTTCAAAAAATGATTTTGAAGTTAGAAAATAGGGAGTATTTCATTTTTTCTAGCGAATAGAAAAGAATTCATAATGGGATGCATTCCATAAGACCCTAGTAAATTATAACATGGACGAATTCTAGCAAAGACTTAACTGTGATTTTTAGTAGTATTTATGAAATAATCTTTGTCAGAAAATTTACTGATTATTTAAATTAATCAAAATTTCACTAAAAATAACATGCATCCTTATAGAACCATAGCTTTGTGCACATAAACTTAGTATAACCAAAAACCGACTAAATATATATGAAACCTCCACCGTACATTAGTAGCGTTTACATACCATTGGTTCCTTGTGAAGAGGTTTCAGTTAAACTTATTGTAGCTGTCCCGATTGCGTCATCCTTAGAACCTCGATCCCTTAATATGAATAATAAGTAGGATGGATAAGTGTGAAAACCATCTCTTATTTTCAGTGATTTATAATATTATAAACACTCGAGGTAAAATGAATTAAATCACTCTTTTACACCTTCAAGATGATACTAAGATAATTTCACATTGAAAAGTGACAAAGGTTCACTTGTCATATTTTGTTCAATATTATCCTATTGTTAAGTAATAGATATGACTTTTTTAATTTTTTGACTTGTCGAAAAAATGAAGGTCGCTAACAGTAGATAAATAATAATGGTTAAATTTTTACAGTATGAAATGAAAGAAATGAGATTTGATTGGAAAAGAATTTATACAATTCCTGATTTAGAACACTGCTAGACAAATATCAATGGTGAAATTATACAGATAAAGAAATGACTGAAGCATATTGTGTTAGTTATATACATAAAGAGATATATCAATATATTCCATAGCACGTGATCCATGACAAAAATAGACGTTACATGACGAAAAATATGTATGGTATCAAAAAAATCACGAAGTATTGCTTTACATGTGTTAGTTATTAATAACATCCCATGATAGTAGAGGCGATGAGACAACAATACAACTAACCATCAGTGTCATCGCGAAAAGCAGAAATTTGTGATATAGAAATAACCCCAGTTCCTATAGGATCATTATAACCAATACGATCCCTGAATAATTGAAAAGAAGGTATGCAGTGTATTAAACATAAAAATAAGAACGACTCTTTGTAAACACTTCCTTACTGATACAAGAATAGCAAATCATACGAGCAACATTTACTGTATGATTTACTTTTTGCCTGCTTATGATTTTATTGTGTTCCGCGACTGTATTTATGTACATCATCATAGTTGTAGCATTATTGATTAGTTGTAAATTAAACAAGATATTTTACTTTATTTTTGGCTTGTTCAATTTTAGGGACCTTTATAACTAGAACTGTTGATATTCACTACTGTAACATTTTATTGTTTAAAGTCGAAATTTACTGAAATCTCCTTAATTTGATAAGTCAACTTTTTTAGTTGTGATTATAAACAATCTAATTATATTTATTTAAAATTGGATAAATGTCAAACTGATTTAATTTAAATTTTTTCTTAATTATTTTTTCAAAAATGTATTCATGAGAATATTTTGTAAAATTCTGGTAGTTTTCATATATATATATATATATATATATATATATATATATATATATATATATATATATATATATATATATATATATATATATATATATATATATATAATGTGTTGAGTTGAAAAGCCAAGATTGGTCAGAACATATTTTATTCTCATAAGGAAACTCGCGGGGTGTGGGACCATGGATGCGCACTTCTGAGGAATCCCATACTAGGACGAAACGGCCGTCCAGTGCTTCCAGGTTTTCCACGGTGGTCTAACTTCAACTGACTCATGATTTCAACTATTGAAATATTTTATTCATCAACAGATGTGAAGTAATATCTTGTGTATACCTTATGTAACAGTTCTTAGAGTTACAATTAAAGTATGAGTGTTGGTGATATTATTTAGTTAGTCGAATTGAAGTAACGAGAACAAAAACACTCAAGCCTTTAAATGATGATTTGAAAGATGAATATTTAAATCGATGAACTGCATATTTGACTCATCACATAAAGGCTTACATTAATTTTATGAAAGAATATAAACAATCTCTGCAGTGTGCATATACGACTCTGCATGCGGGATCTTCGGTCTCGTGCTCAAACTCTTATTCTCAAGACCATTGAGCTGAGGATTGCTTGCAGGTTTCCAAGAGTGGTCTAATATTTATCGATTCATGATCTCAATGAAAAGCTTAACAATCTTCACAACCCCATACTGTTGAATATTTTATTCTCGTTTAGGATTTTTGAAAAACGCCTACCTACTCATTTAGTATTTTATGTACTTGATAATAGACTTGCTTTTTGTTGTGAATACCAATATTTTCATACAAATACGTCTAGCTGATCAGTCTAGGATACATTCGATCAGGTGTTTTTTTTGTAATTCTTGTTAAAGCCAATACTTAATAAATTCACGCAGTATTTTTAGCAGTTTACAGCTATATATAATTTAGTGAAAATGCATATTTTATTAAAAAGGTTGTATTAGATATGCCAGTGTAAATAAATTCAATGATCTCGTTTAAATTTTTAAATGCCCACCATTCGCACTCAGTCTGGTGTAGACTGTTTTTACTCCAGCAACAAGTCGATCAACATTGTACTTATCCTCAAAATATGATTAACTCAACCTGCAGCTTTTTAAAGGTTACTGCCGGCTAAAGGAGAACGGTTGGGGATGTATTCAGCATACCCATCCCTTAGAAAACAACCTTCCTAAAAATCTCTGACCAGAAAAAATAAATTAAACTATTTAGACTATACACTCCGAGTTGAACGAAAACTTATGACACCTCATAGTGAAAGCCGATATTTTTCGGAGGTCATCAGGTTGATGGAAAGAGATCAAAGAAACATCAACCTCAACGTGTCAGGAGGTTGTGGGCCAAAAGAAGCGCCGTCATAAGGAATGGATTTCAAAAAAATGAAGAACAAGTAGACTGCAATTAACAACAACCGACCAAGAACACATAAAGCCAAGCCACAGGTCAAATACGTGGAAGAAAACAAGCAATTGTAGAAGAGCATTAGAGCCGACAAAAGGAAATACATAGAAGAACTAGAGACGACAACGGGTAAAACAGCAAGAAAAGAAAATATTAAACAACTATATGATGCGACAAGGAAACTAGCAGAGAAATATGATAAACCAAAGTAACCAGTCAGGAACAAAGAAGACAATTCAATCACCGAGACACAAGAACAGTGGAATAGATGGGTAGAACACTTTGAACAATTCATTAATAGGCTAGCCCAACTGAACCAACCAGACATTGAAACAACACCTACAGACCTTCCTATAGATGTCACTCCACCAACGACTGAAGAAATCAGGATGACCATCAAATAAATCAAGAATGGAAAGCGGCAGACATTACTAGTAGTAGCAGGAAAAAAATTTCGACAGTGTTGCTGAATTGGATGAAAGATTCAGTAGACGTCCAGCTTCCAGATCAACAGGCCGCATTCCGTAAAGACCAGTCATGTATAGACCAAAAGCGTAACAGTGAGAATCATTGTTGAACAATGAATTAAATGGAACTCGTCACTATACATTAAATTCCTTGTTTATGAAAAAGCATTTGACAGAGTGGAAATGAGAACCTTATAAAAACTTCTTGGGCACTATGATGTATTTGAGAAAATTGTCAACATCATGCTGATTTCATACAACCGACTACACTGCAAAGTTGTGCATGCAGGACAGCTGACAGAAGCACTTTGAAGGGAAACGGAAAAGAGGAAGACCAAATTAGACACGGCGTCGAAAATTGAAAGCATACATCAAAAGGATGAATAGCAACTAGGAAGAACCGGAAAGGATTGTCCAGGACAGAGTTTGATAGAGAATTTTGGTGGGGGGCCTATGCTTCTCCACGATGGGTAACAGGCGTAAGGAAGTAAGTATAAGTATATTTATTAATATCTCCTATTATTCTATTAGATCGCCTCTAATAAACGTTCGAAGCAGTAAAACGATGAATGACTAAGTGTGTCTTCTTTTAACTCGTTGGTTACAACTAGAGTCTCATTAGACAATATTATAGAATGGTGCTTTAAAAAAACTGTAGGAAAATTAAAAAAACCCTGAAAACAGTTTAATCCATAAATTATTGAGCAAATAAATTATTTAGAGTCAATCTAATATAAGCCTACCAATCAAAGAACGTAAATTTCAATTTCTCACACATTGACGGGAACTGTAAAAGAGAAAGTATAAAGTAACAAGAAATTTAATACTACGAGTATAACTTATTATGGTAGTTTAGTAGATTTCTTATAACTTAAAGATGAAATTACCCTGATATTTTCTGTAGAGAACCATTGAATATCAGTAAACCCTGAAGGTCTGATTCTCACCATTTTTGGGCTCTCTAGTAACGAATAGCAATCGATTTGTGCAGGATCGAAACCATGAATTTCATATCTCACTATGAGCACGATATAGTTGATTTTGGGAAAATGAAGCTTAAAAAGGTAGAGTGTGAGACAGTAAATCTCTGATGGGATTGGATTCTTATCGATTTGTAACGTGACTGAAGTTTGAAATGTGAACAATTATGTTTTAATTGTGTGTTTTAAGGGTGTCTTGCTCATCAAGAAAATTCAAAGTCGTGTGTTTTATCCCTTGTTAAGTTGCTAGTTCACACTGCCGGCAATGATAAAATTGCTACTGAATACTCCTTGGTTCACATTAGCTATGAAGATTAAATCAATTAGTAACTTAGAATATCTTCAGGAATGATTGTCTATCCATTCCAATGATCGTCTAATGAATAGTTTCTTTGTATCACTTAAGTGAAGCACTCTCATAATGTTGTGAATTTCACGTTTGATATCCCTTCAGTGTAGAAATTTTCAGTCTATGTATATCCATGAAATGTGCCGCTTGTTGAATACTTTTACTTTCCAACTAGACGGACATACAATAAATATATTGATATTGTATTATCTTAGCTAGCCGATTTATTTGCGAAGACCTGATTGCTGTTCAGCAGAACATTAGAGTTTACTTCATATAAAAACTTTCTCCCTAGATGAGGTAGGCATTAACGATTTTGTATAGAGCCATTATAAAATCCTTAAAGTTAGATCAGTTAGTTCACGGATAGCATCCAGTTGAAGTGCTACTGTTATAGTACAACATTTAACACAACAATAGAATAATACATGTGATGTGAATAATCCAACTAGGCCAAAATTAATTGAAGTAGTGATCAACGCAGACAATACTGCTTGTAAACATGAATAATATGAACTGAACTTTGATGTGGGTCAATTTGAAACAGTTCCCGAAATATTGTTACACTGAGAATACGGTAGTCTGCAATGTCTAGTGTAAATTTGAAGAAAGTATCATTCTCCTGGTGAAAATAGTCCTCTATTTTTGTGATATATTAAATATGAACAAAAATCACAGAGCACGTTTACATTTTTAAACAAAAATATGATACGTGGATACACTACGAAAAGTAACTCAAGGACATCATCTTATGTTTAGTCGTAGATGAGCATTGCTGTAGAGCCATATGCTAGGATAAAACGGTTATCTACTACTCTCTGGTTTCCAATAACTGTTCAGCTGGTTCATAAATTATCTCCATGCATATATGTTTAGTGAAAATATAAAATTAATTAGAATTAAATATTCTCATTAATACATTAAGAACGGAAGTGAGGAAAGCAATATTTCTTAACAAACAGTTCCTCATCAAAGCTACACACTAACATATTTACAGTTAAGAACAAAAGCAATACTAGATTGTCGAGGGGACCAAGAGCATTCCTCGAAAAAAGCCCAGATGGGCCCTGAGAACACTGGCAAACATTTTACTCAATCGTCAGAAACATCTAGAAAGTGAAGAATCATGTGTCACATTTCTGATTTTCGTGTTTACCTAACCTTCTACTATGTTTGGTAAGGTTCTAGAAACTTTCAGAAGCCGAGACAATTTGAAATACCATAAATACTCTCGATTTTCTGTACATAAACTATATTTGAAGTAAGGCGTTTTTTTCATATTTTGCGTCCTTTCTCTTTAGTTTTAGTTGTCGTGTAGATTCAGCCTGAGGTTATTAGAAGAGCTAAGGAAGCCTATTCAAGCGTTCAGCCAGAAGATTTGTCAAAAATAAATGATGGTTAATAAACTTAACAATTATTTTCTCTAAAACAAAAATCAGTTAGCAGTTCAGCAGATGCAAAACTAGATCTGAAGAAAAGATTGTATAACCGGTGAAATAAAGAAACTCGTTACGTAGCAATAAGAGTAAACTAAGCTCGAAATGAAGCAATTTAACACAAATGTTTATTGCTATTTGTAAAACTGATAACATGGAATTAATAAGACGGGTACAGATAGTAATTAGTTCCCTTTTATAGCTTTTTTGAATCTTCTCACTGACGTTTATGACTGCAACTGATTAGTCACTTATTGACATATGTACATACTGTGCGGATCGCCTAGGTATTGCTTTAAGTCACAAACATTTAAAGCAGAGATGAATGATGGCAGGTACATCCATCTGACGATTCCTGAAAATGACGAAACACGCGTTCTAGATTCCACTGATAGCCACCATCTATCTCTATCTATAATACGGATAGTAATTCACCGACTGGCAACTGATTGCTTCAGTATTATAAGTATTGTTCGAACTATAATTTTTCATGCAAGATAATTCAATTATTCCTAACTGACCTGAATGTTCATTGTAATCTCTTCGTTCCATTCAGGATGATCAGTTCCATATTTTGTACTAGATTTAATCTAGAAAACAAACAAATAAAGCAGTAAGTAATCCTAAGCATTTTCATATTTGGTACGTGTCATAACCAAAGATTTCCTTCATTTTTCTGTTTGTTTAGTGAGTCACTATGAGATGTTGGAATATTTTCATCATTGAAGGTTTTCCTTGAACCTCTAACTGTTAGTCTGTTCACATTTTGCATTTGAGGTGCTTGACTGGGCTACACTAAAATTGTTCAAAACACACAGTTTTGGATAAATTTAGCAACAATAATGTGTTCGAACTCTCTACAATCCCACAATTCATAATATTGATCAAAAACTAAGTGTTCTTAGATGGGATCTTTTTTGTTAGCTTCAAATAATTCATTACTGTTTAGTTAGTGTTGACTAGATGTCGCAGTTTTATTATTTTTGTATTTAAAATTCCTACATCAAGGGAAAATAGACTAAGTTGGTTCAAACGTATGGAATATTAAGATTTAAAAGTCACCATAAATAAATGATTACTGAATCAACGGGATAAATTGTAATGAACTCATTTCTAATAGATGTTAAGTTAGTATTAGAAGTTTCGTATAACTATAAAGCAATGATGAATTTTGACCTTATGGTCCATAAAACATTTAAGAAAGTACTTCCAAAAATGTTTTTTAAGAAGCGCTAAACGGTGCGACATCATCCGAACTAATACAGAAGATTGGAAGATATATACCAGATAATAAATTGTTAATAAAATTCAGAACTATTGGTATTATATCTCCAGTTGATCAATGTTAGAAGTTTGGACTATTGTGTACTAGCTCCGTTCTTTGAAAGCAACGTGTTCTCTGCGATACTTAGATTTCGTGAGTTTAATCTGTTTTGATTGTCTTTGAGAACTCCATAGAAGCCTTATGCTAATTCAAAACATTTATCTAATTCTCGCTGGCTTTTAGTGTAATCTTAACAAATAGTAGTTGGTGATGAATATCAGCATAAATCTATTTTTATCGAACTAGAAAGCATTCTGAATTTTTTATAGAAAGATAAAGCTGTAAAGAATAATTTTCACTGTGAAATTTCTTAGCATGAATAATTTCCTAAGTTGTTTCACTATTTTCCTATAAATCGCGGCTTTCTAGTTGGTTAATTAAATTTTGACCATGAAAATCGAGTTCACACTCAATGTAGTAGACAAGTCCATTGACAGAGTGAAATATTAGTAATCAGAAGATATCTATTTTTATTTCTGCCTTGAATGGGAATTCCAATATTTTTTTGTCATTACAGCTCATACCAATTGGTTACAGATATTGTATACACAGCGTTGATCAATGACATTTTAGTTCTCGTGTTAACAGTCAATTAACTTTTGAAAGCGGCCTTGAATTTGAGTCAATTTCTATACTTGAAACATTAAATTTATCAATTGTATTTGAAATATTTTAACTATACATTGATATGTTCTGAAAACATTGGCAAAATATTAACTTTAAGATAGCTGAATCGTTCTCGATCTTAAATGTTTATATCAGTACTTAACTTCAAGATATTATTCGGATCACGTTCCATTGGATAAATGTGTAAAATTCCAAAGGGAGTGGGAAAATGAACATTTATTAAGCTTTACAACTTATAACTGTAGAGCCTGATGATGAAGTTGTTGAAAAAAATTGTTCGCTGTAAAATATTCTTCATTTTTACAACTTCATTTAATTATTTTATTAGCAAGTTCTTTCATAAACAGTTTTGTGTATTCTCACGCCCGTTGTAAGTGATTATACGGGCGATAGTTTTACCAATAGAATGGTCATGGTCCTCACTACTGAATAAACAGAAACAGGATTAAATTACATCAAATATCATTCTGAAGTTAGTAAAGTATTCGGAACAAATAAAACGACTTTAATCATTGTAAAAAAGGTGAATATATATATGCAGAGAGAGAGAGAGCGAGAGAAGAAAACCATGATATGGGCTGTTGGTTTTTAACTTCATTTTGGGGAATTTGATATTTCCAATGTTATTAACTTTTGCTTCATGACTGTTAACCCCACTTCGCATCACACACTGACATCTCGTAGTGAGCTACGAAATCATCAGAGTTCACTGGACAACTATTTCTTTCAAATGATAAATGATTGATGATTAATAAAAAGCGAAAGATACCATTGACTTAATAACTAACCGATTTCCCAGCAAATGAAACAAGAGCGTAGGGATCCACAAACTCTTTTTCTTCATCAGATGTAGAAAGTAAATTCTTGATTCCTTTAAAAGCATCTGAATCCACTGAAATCAAACAACAGTTTCAAAAACTTAAGAGTACAGCATTAAAATATGTTAAACATCTAATCATATTATTATTATTAATATAAGTAGCTAACTAACTTAAAACTTAAATTTCATAGGGGTGTTCAAAGACCCAAATTTTAATAGACGTTTGTAAACATGGTTGGTCCGTCTTATTGTTGTCTTTGCTGAAAATCCAAATAATATAGATTTATTAAAGCATACTGACTGGTTAGATTTTTGGCTTAGCAAATACTGGATACACCAGTCGCAACTATTTTTTAATGAAATAACTTAAATTGTCGAATTTCAGACATTGACTTTAAGTATTCGGTTCAATGTACCATGGACTTGGATCTGTAATATGTATAGTAGGTTCGAAACTTCAGCTCGAATGAGGTAATCGCCTCCAAAGTTGTAATTCATGCTTGGGTTCACTGGAAACTCACTAGTGTAGGATCGTTAAACTTTATTCTAAATAAGATAGCATTGGCTACTAAAATCCTTGTTAAACATCACGTAAGAATATACTATCAACTGCACATTATAGTTCCTTTATTAGAACAACATAACACACGATATTACAGGTAAATACTTTTATATTGTCCAAGCAAACTATAAAGCAGCTGTTAGGCCATCGCTTCCCATGTCTGGAGTAATTTGGCAAAATTATTTAAGTTCTAACTGTTTTAAACAATGGAAAAAATTCCAATATGGATAAAAAAATATCTGGGGTTTCCATCCGAAAGGAGTCAACTTCAGTCACTTTTATTATGTTGAGAAACCTGAAACCCAATAACTCAGCAGCTATTTATATTATGCAAAACCCAATATGCTTGATGTTTGCCACTTACTGTCCAAACTTTTATAAACAGAATTGGTCTGATTAAATCAATCCATTTTCATCCAAACATTTCAATGATTTATATAGAGCTCAACTGGTATTTATACCCTATCTTAATTTGAATACTTCATACAATGATACACTAAATAGTAGATATAACAACCTTTACAAATTAAGAGAAGGCGTTGAAGGAAAATTATTAAAATTCGTATGTGTTATACATCACAAATCGGTCTTCATTGAGGTACCATTTAAAATAAACGAGTACTGCATAGATATTTCATACTGTTATGGAACTACTCGGCAGTGTACACTCACGATCCTGCTAACATGATTGTATGATTATTGAGCTTTACTTATTACAATTATTCTAAATTCATCAACTTCGTTATTCGAAATAAGCACGCACCTTAAAATAGGCTGATGTTTTTATCATTGATTTATATGTATATGTGTAGAGTCTGTTGTGAGAATTAATTGAATAGATGTATGCTTAGTTCATAAATTTTTCTTACTATAAAAATGGGAATTTTGTAAATAAAAAACAAATTAGTGTATTTTTAGATTATGGCTTGCAATGGAATCAATTTGTCCAGTTTTGAAATTGTCAGCTGGACGAACTTGGATCTCACTTTTGTTCTTCATATTAAGAATAAACTCAGAACCTAAGGCTTTGAATCCAAATGCTCCTTTTACGACGTTACTGAATTTAGGTAGCTACTAATTTGCTCACTTAGCATTAAGTAAATCTCAAGACTTTGTATTATACGGTTTTTGATGTATTCTAGACCGAAAACATATCCCCAAACTGATTATTAACAGTTCAGTATAAGAACAACAGGAAAATTTAAACCTTTACTAACGAACTCTCAGTAGCTAGTATTTTTAGCATTAACATTATATATATGGATGCTTTGTTCAAGCGACAAAACACAAAGAAAGGAAATTTAACCTACTTCTTGGCAAATCTTCAGCCATATATAAAAGAATTTTAAAAATCGCTGGTCTTAATTGAACACCAGCAGGACGAAGAAGATTTCTATAAAACAAATAAAAAGTAATAAGGTTTTGCAAATAATTTATCAGTTATTTGTAAGATTGAACAGTAATTGAATAGATTATAGAGGTAAAACACAGTTTGATTCAGTGAAATATTAGGTTATAAACATAATTTAATAGAAATTCCTGAAAATAAATAATCTGTTTGTTACTGGATATTTTAAAGAAGTTATATTGTTAACTTCGAGTGGTATTGATAAAGTTGAAATAACTGACAAAAAGTTAAAAAAAACATTGATTGCTTTGCAAACTTGATTGTCATCATTAACTAATCATTCATTGTTGAACAAATCATTTTCGCTTGAAGAAATATAAAATTATATGACATTGAGATGGTGGAGAAGATTTGTAGCTCAGGTGGATGATTTTGATGGGGTTTTGTTCTCTGAGAACAAAACCCCATCATTATATGACATTGTCAATTTACTTGTAATATTCATTCAGCTGTTCAGTGGTACCGTCATTCGCAACCTACATGCTTGTGGAACGAGACGGACTTAACGGTTTCATTTAATGATTAGTCTACACTTTAGTCATTTTACTCACTCCAATTATTGTGTTAATTATCTATATTATTTTAATTTTACGCAAAATAATACAACTCAGTAAAGGCATATGGTGTAAATTAGTTTGAACTGACATGATAACCTAATGAATAGAATGTTAATGATTATAAGTTAGTTAAAAGAAAATCTGCAAAATGAAAACGTTAATTAATACATGTTTATCTCAATGGTTAAGATCATGAGTCAGTTGAAGCTAGACCACCATGTTTATCTCTTACTAATAAGAAAAAACAATATAACACTATTTATACCGTTGTGACGATATTTATTTAGTTTTCTTGATTAGAAAAATTGAAGCTCTGTTGTTTGGTCTCATCTTCAGCTTTCATAATCGTGTTCGATTCTGATTGTCGAAAGGTAACTCAGAATTAGTCGTTCTGGTCTATCTAGTCCCAATAGATCAGCTATTTGAACTAGAAATATTTTAAATCTTTATTATCTTGAACACAATCGATTTGCACAAATTATCATGTGTCAGAGTGAATCTTTAAGAAATAGATTTTAAATCGTGATTTATGTTGTGAAACGATTAAAGTTCATAATGTGAAACAATGAACTTTATGTCGACAACATAATAATACTAAGTTCATCGTCAGATTGAAAAGTTTGAGTACAGTCATAACTGTTAAACAGTAAATATTCCCCAAAAATCTTGAACCAAATGATTTTCAACCGTCTTAGTAACTTTTTATTAATTTATCCGAATAACTTCGATTCATTATTATTATTTCCAAACATCCTTTTTTGTAAATTAAGCGGGCAGACATAAGAAATAGTAATAATCGGTAGCTCAATATCGCAAAATGACTGAAGATAAAGATGTAAACACATTGGTATGAAGATTGGGTGCTCTCCGAGGACTGAAGGCTTTAAGTTTAATTCCTGTTATGAGGATAAAAACGCACTCCTGACGAGTCACTTATCGGGACGAAACAGCTGACATCTAATTTCCAGTTTTCAATAGTTTTTAAAGCTAATCCATGGCATAAAACTCTGAAATTTAGTAGCCACCGCAATCCTCTATACTAAAAGCAATTTGAACTGAATACGACGAGCTTTTTTCAGAAAAGTACATAGAGAAGAAATTCACGTGTTTCAGAGGTTAAAGGTTCATTCAATTCTCATGAATGACACGTTATTTAGCTTTTATGTTTATTGTTTTTGCTTGATATTATATATATATATATATATATATATATATATATATATATATATATATATATATATATATATATAATTGTGAAAGCAATCATTTGAACATGTATTGTGAATATAAATAATTATGTACTTATGTGTTATTTTATCACAAAGAAAAATCAGTTTCACTAACCCTTCAATATCTTCTTTCTCATCGGATTCACCAACTTTCATAATCTATGGTGAGAAAAATAATAACAATGTTAGTTTTTGTTATTAAAATTATTATTGTTGTTATTATCAATATAACACAAGAAAGTTACTCAGCAAGATGAAACATGAACATGTTAGTGTTTTGTTGTCTAGTGATTTTACAAAACATTCAGTGATAAAGTTAAAATGACTTTAACTGAACTATGAATTAGAAATTCAATATCATCTTGATTTAGTCTGACCAAAAGTACTGTCTTCTAATTAAAACTTTTTATGGAGAGATTAATTAAAACAGTATTAAATATCATGTCCTCGAAACATAGATACATGGTATGTGCGATGAATACACTGAGTTACTGGGATTCTTAGTTATGATACCCATCAAAATCCTAAGTCGATGCGAACATAAAACGTATCATGTCTCAATGTATGAATGATTTTAAATGGATAAAATTTTAAAATTGTGATGGTGCATACGGTTTAAAAAACGCCAATCCGATCGACAATATTGTGTGCAAATATCTTCCTGAATTAGTTGAGTAAATGCTGAACCGATAGGAAAAACCTGGCTCAAACATCTGATCTTCCTGAAACATTCATCACTGGTGATGAAGTGTGATATTATAAGAACGGTATACAATTTACCTCTTGAAGAGGTCCAGGAATATTTTGAAAGATTCAAATGATGGAGTGTTTTGAAGGGGATAAGATTAATTTACTTAAAAATTTACAAAATAAAGCTCTTATGATCTCAGCGAACTTGTTTATTGAACATCATATTTACACTTTGAAAAAGCCATACTGCAGAAACCAAGAAACAACGCTTACCGGAGCTTCGTCTCCAGGCCCTAGAATAACAACTGATATTTTTAGATAACCTTTAGCACCAGACATTGGATCTTCTGGATTACATAGTAGCAACCATTTATTTAACATTGCATGACGATCGCATTCATAAACTATTGACAAATCGAATTTGAAAGAACCAATCATTGAATCACGACGAAGTCGACGTGAATCGTAAACAGTGAACACTAATTGTTGATCTAACATTTCGGCAGCTGAATCGAAGAAATTAAAAAAAAACGTCTGGTCCCAGAATGGTGAATTTGTAGAATTTCGAACACGTGTGTCTTTACTTTCTTTCCAGCAAGTAATTTTACATATTGGTGAAATATTAGCACCTTGTAATTGACGAGCTTCAATAACTTTGACACGAATCTAATTTAATATAAGAAAAGAGAAAAGAAATGTTCAATTGTTATACGCGCCCACTAGTTTCATAACACATACCATTAAATTGTAAATGTAGATTATTCCGTTGTTAATATTTTGACTGAAGTTTATCAGTCTTGGTTGGCTTACGCTTTGTATAAATAAGTGATTAGCTGGCTTCATTAGCTAACGCGTTGATGTTTAAATGAGCGGTACCGTGTTCGAATCCTAGACTGATCATCAACTCTAGAATGTAGGTACGTTTGATTGATAAGCTATAAAACAGGACGAAATGCGCGCTCTGGCTTAAACTGCCAGCCACATTTAATCTACTTTATCCACATTAATAATGTTATCAGATAAACAGCATCCATGTGTGTACTATTACCTTAAGCTCAATAAAAGTTGTCATAAAAAGTATTACGATTTCATATGAATTAAAGGAGTGGGAAACAATAGTAGATGATACTTTGATGTGGAGATTAGGTTTGTATTTTGTAATAATCCAACAGAGCTCTATTAGCTAGAACAGTATATCCAAAACATGTATCCGGTTGTGCTATTATTACTAATATTATTATTATTATCTACATTATTCTAAGATAACATTGATTGAGGTTATGAATCAGTTGATGTTAGACCACTATTAAAAACCTGGAAACACTGGACAACAGTTTCTTCCTATTATAAGACTCCTAAGCAGTGAGCATTCACGATCCCGCTTGTGGGATTCAAGCCCAGGACCTTCAGTCTCGAGCGCAAACCCAGAGCTGTAATCTCATAATTACCATTTCTGATTATCTAAAGACTGATCCAAATTACAAAAATAAATCTATGGCTTTATGCAATAGAACGTGAATTGTAATGTTATTTCGATGAACATAAACTCCAATCAAAATCATTTTAGGATTACCGACTTCCAAGCACGTATAAAGTAGAAGGGTTGGTCAAATAGTTAGGAACCCCGTCAGGTAGAAAAATAAGATCTTAAAGTACAACACAGCGAGCACCAACTCAATCAAACCTGATGGAGAAGCTCTGAAAAAAGTGGAAACATTTACTCACCTGAGCAGAATCATCAATACACAAGGAGAATCTGACGCAAATGTAAAGCACGAAGTAGCAGAGGAAGGACAACATTCTTACAATTGAAGAACATATGGAGCTCAAAAAACAGCCAGCCAACTTCAAAGCCAGAGATTTCAATACAAACGTCAAAACGGTTCTACTGTACTGAATTGAAACTTAAAGAACTACCACAACTACCATCAAAAAGTACAAGTATTTATAAAACACTGTCTACGGTTGGTCGATGATTCCTTGTCGGCAGCCCATGCTCTATGAAGTATTACAGGCCCAAGTAATTAAGAAATGTGAAATCGGACAACGGACATCACTTGCTATGGCCGTAGAATCTTGTGCTCTCGATGCGTAATGTATTTTCAAAACACATGATATCATTGATACTCAGCTGCTTAAACCGAAGTTGTGCGGAGTTTAAACCCGCAGTCCAACGTTTGGACAGATAAGCTACCATTTACTGCGACTATTATCACTATTACCGTTATTATCCTTAATATGATTATTACTTAACCATGGTAAGACTAACACCATTCTATTATTTTTTATCTCCCTATAAATCTGTTTTTACTGTGATTTTGTTTTTGTATATGACAGAACAAGTTTACACACGTATAACATGGTATGATTGTTATTATTATTATTAAGATATAGGTAGATGATACATAAAAAATACTTGGCATACAAGCCAGACAATATTATTTGTTTGTTTGTTCCCAGTTAAAGTTTCTATTCTTTGGAACTATGTTACATACTACTGTTGTTAGATAACGTTTGTTTACTCTAAATCAGAGCAGCAAACAATGTAAGCAGTACCAATTAATAGACAAAGAAATAGGTGATAACATTATAGGTTACCAGGTTTTCTTTCTTTTCACTTCATTTTATTTCAACCGATAATAATATCCTCTAAAATGTATATTTCACTTGATCATGTATATAAATGCTTTTTAAAATTCATCATTCATTCAGAACTGAAGCATATGTTTATCTTTTTTTTGAACTAATAATTGTCTCAGTTTGTTCGATGTTAAATTTAAAACTCCAAACGTGTTATAACGTGAATAACAACAATGAATGAAACTGCTATAAAAATACTATTCTAGTGTTGATTTCCTGAGGCTCACTGTTTACATAATCACGCTGAAGAGTCTTGCCAAATACGAAATACATGTTTAGGCTATGGTTATTAAAATATTAACGTAGTGTATTTTCGTAAGCTTTTTACAATTGATTGGTCACGGGATGGTGATCAGTATCATGTGTGTCACGTCCTTCTTACTGCAGATCGAATCCTATCGACCACGTTGCAATGTGGCCACTAGTCTAGGTGACTCGACATTGTGTGCACTATGCTGAGATAAGATGGTGGTTGGAGGTAGTCAACAAGAAACCCTAGACCTAAGTTTCGTGCTATTCGGCACTCGTCAGTAAGGTGTACCTGCAATCTTGAGGGGACTGTGGCTATCTGGAGGATCACCATCCAGTGATCGATCAATTGTTAATATATCTCAGTCCTACACGAGGTCAACATAGGTCACCGATCAGGATTCTCCAACAAACTCTGTCGTTGTCGATCCTTCCCAGTTGTTTCCAACCACTATTCATTATTTTGACATCTACCGCCTTTTCCCGACGCAATATGTTCTTCGATCGTCCTTTTTCCATTTTACCTTCAGGATTCCAAGTTAGGACTGACCTCGTGATGAAGTTTGATGATTTCCGCAATATATTTCCTATCCGCCTTTGAAGTCTTTCCTAAATAACTTCTTCAGTTAAAACTTGATCCGTTTCCGGCCACAGCAGGTTTTAGCAGATTCTATAAGGCCAATAGGCATTGAATATCTTGCGTAGACAGTGTTTTATAAATACTTGTACTTTTTGATGGTAGTTGTGGTAGTTCTTTAAGTTTCAATTCAGTACAGTAGAACCGTTTTGACGTTTGTATTGAAATCTCTGGCTTTGAAGTTGGCTGGCTGTTTTTTGAGCTCCATATGTTCTTCAATTGTAAGAATGTTGTCCTTCCTCTGCTACTTCGTGCTTTACATTTGCGTCAGATTCTCCTTGTGTATTGATGATTCTGCTCAGGTGAGTAAATGTTTCCACTTTTTTCAGAGCTTCTCCATCAGGTTTGATTGAGTTGGTGCTCGCTGTGTTGTACTTTATGATCTTGCTTTTTCCTTTGTGATAAAGCCTACTTCTGCACAGTCTTCTGCTACAATGGATGTCTTCATTTCCACCTGTTGCTCTACATGGGAATGAAGAGTTAGGTCATCTACAAAGCCCAAATAGTCTAGTTGCATTTAAGTTCTACATTGTATTCCGTGAATGTGAAGCATGCTTGCAGTTGCTTCTATGCCTGACTTTGGTGCTCCAGCTAGTATATTGTCAGGCCCTGCTGCTTGATTTGTCTGATGGTCATTCTGATTTCTTCAAACGTTGGTTAAATGACATCTATAGGAAAGTCTGTAGGTGTTGTTTCGATGTCTGGTTGTTTCAGTTGGGCTAGCCTATTAATGAATTGTTCAAAGTGTTCTACCCATCTATTCCACTGTTCTTGTGTCTCGGTGATTGGATTGCCTTCTTTGTTCCTGACTGGTTACTTTGGTTTATTATATTTCTCTGAAAGTTTTTTTTGTATCATATAGTTGTCTTTTATTTCCTTTTCCTGCAGTTTTCTCCGTTGTAGGCGCTAATATTCTTTTTCACTAGCTTCTTTTCTTCTATGTATTTGACCCGTGGCTTGGCATTATGTGTTCTTGGTCAGTTGTTGTTAATTGCTGTATACTACGCAGGCTGCCAACAGAGATGCACTCTGAGATGTTTGGGGACGATTCCTAGCTCAACTGGAGGATTTTAGCGGTTCCGTTTATTGAGCTGGATGGATCGTTTGTGAAGCTTACATAGTTGTTCTCAAGAACTGTTTACGACCAAACCATACAGCTAAGATCACGAAATTCCAGCAAAAACAGATTAACTTTTTATGCTGGTATTTCGTTAATCTCTTTCTAGTTGTTCTCCATAGGAATTTCCCCTTCTTTTAGTATGTAATATAAGGCTTGAAACCCGTTGATGAGAGCTATCTTGAACTCGTTGAGTTTATCAGATCCCCCAAAATGTTGTATTGAACTTCTGTGATGATGTTTCTCCAGCTATACAGCGCTTATTTGGCTTCAGTTTCATATTTGCCACCACCGGGAAGAAATCTAAGGCAGTACCAGTTTCCTCTCTGTTCTCACGTCTTCAATGGATCTTTCGAACTCTTTATTGATACTAATGCATTCGGTCTGGTTCGTTGTATAGTTATCCGGTGAAACCCACGTAACTTGTGAATGTGTTTGTATGGAAATACGGTGCCACCTATAGCAATTTTGTTGAAGGCAAATAAATGTGCAAATCTTCTCTCTCCTAGTCCACGTCGTCTCATGATATCTTCATACCCAATGTAGATCATCCAGACTTTGGCGTTTAGGTCCTTCATCAGGATGGTCAGGTCCTTTTCTAGGCATTTCTGTACAATCAACTTTATCCTCCTATAAAACTAACCTTTATCGTCTGCCCTGCTATCATTGGTGAGTACATAGCACTGGATGTAGAATTTGAAGAATTTCTTGATGATTCTGGATCAATGGGATTCCAACGCCTTGAGCCTTTTTCGTGCTTCTTTGATGTCATAATTGCAATTCCTTGTATGGGCGAGGCATTTAATCCTTCATGATCAGAGTACCACAGTACTTCCCTTGAAACTAATCTTTTCTGTCCAATGAGATTAAGGTACTGGTTGCCCCAGGAAATCATCTTACGGTTTTCACACTCCATTACAGTCAACAGTACGATTTTGAACTCGGACTTTAATTTGCTAATTTTAGTTTAACCGATCCACATCTGAGCTGTGTGGTATACTCGGACCTAAAGGATCTCTGGAATCATCTTAGTATTCAAAACATATCAGCACAAGGAATAAGGCTAGGACTGCTTAGTTATGATATAGATAGGCTAGTTTCTAACCGTAAAAATCAGTGCTTAGTAACATATGAGCAACTTAGGGACGTTTATCAGACATGTATAAATAACATATTCTTTTCTAATGCTTGGACTTTAGTATTACATTTCATCCATTCATACTTTTCTCTTTTTTGGTTAACTAAGATAGTCGAAGATATTAAAGCTATTTCGCGGTGTCTATTAATTTAAAACAATTCACGAGTTTCTCTTCAGCTGGTTCTGATATAAAACTGTTGGGGAAGTAGATTGACACTGATTTGTGTCAATGAGATCACTGGAACTATTGAATATGAAATTTTGTATGAAGTCGAAATTCGCGATCTAACAGATTTCTAAGCAAACCGTTAGATATAAGAAACATATTATGTTTTATTTCAAGTATGCAAATTTTCGGATTTATATCGATTGATATAATTTTATATGCACTTTTTGAGGTTTCCCATAGTTCCTCAAAAAAGACTGCAGAAACTGGGGAAAATGTGAATTTAATTTACAATTGTTTCTACTGGTATTAAATTGGGATAAACAAGCATGTTGAGTCTTGAAAGCAGGCTACTGCAACAGTTTTCTATTTTTCAGTAATTATCAAAGTAATGTCAGGTATTCGAGGAAATCATCGAGCAGCAATCGATGGATACCAGCTTTTGATTTCTATATACTAGCTTAACCATTTGACTACCAACCACATGTTCGCCAGAAAATCCAATTTGTAAGTCGCGATATAGTGTTATTTAAAATAATAATTTTATCATACCCAAGATATTCTAGAATTATTTACTTCCGCGTTTACACTAGTACAGAAAATAACTATCGGGATACAAATTCTATGAAGATCGTCCGTTCCTTTATTGCGTGCATTTATTGATGATCAACACCAACTAACGTGAAACTTAGATCTAGCCATGACTACGTATCCTCTTCCATACATAACTTTATATATATAACATTGTGGCTTGTTTGACTCTTATCCACCTCAAGAACAAATATCTTTGTAAAAGGCTTACTTGAAAATCTTGTTTCTTTGTTGAATATTGGGGACGGACTGCCAGACCACTTAGTTTTTTTTTACGTTTGCCTGTACCCAGTTCATCATCAAGTGTATCTTTTTCATACACATCAGTCCCTGTACCCCCACTACCTCTTACGCCAGCATCACCAGCGCCACCCGCATCCACTTTATCGCCTACGCCGCCTTGTTCTATTTCATTAGCTAAAAGATATGTGATCGAAGTTAAAGGATAAAAAATATGTCAATGTGGTTGAAATGATAATAATAATTCTCAGTGTACCTGTATTCTTGAGGGAGGACAAAGTTGAGCCTCCCAGTATCACAGTCCAAAATTTTAATAGTATATAATTTAGGTTGTAGCACATTTCATTAACTAACTATTGTTAACCTATGTCATAACTCTGAACAGACTCATTACAATCCTCTGCGTAACTGATACAACATAATGCCAAGTTTTGATTACTAAGATAAGTAGGCTTGGGTAATACTTCCAACTGACTGCCATCGGCCACTAATCATTTACACCAAACGAGCTTATGCGTTTCTATCTCAACCGTTTAGTGAACGATATACTGTGAGTTAAATTGATTCAACGTCTGCGTTTCGCATAAGTGATAAAAAAAAACAGTTCACAAGCAGTAAGAAAATTGTAAAAAGACTGGAAAAAAGGTCCATTTTCAAGTAATGATAATTAGACAGCTACGAATCGAGCTACAAGGTTATGGATTTTGCAAATCAGATATGAATCTTATTAGCATAAAAATACATGTAGTAAGCAAGTTACAGATGATCTTACTAGGAAGAACTTATAATATGATAATAAAGATTCATGGCCATTATATCACTTGTTATGGTAAGATAAAATAACAAAATAGTCTATATATATGCAAGATAATTTAAATGCTTACGAAAACAGTGGATAACACACAAATGTACAGAAAAACAACGTGAAATAATTTTACGTTCAAATCAATGATTCGACTAATGACAGTTGTAATTCACCCAACAGGATATAATTAAGTGCGCCCTTCTTTTTCCTAAGAATTGCCTACTTTCAATCGATTATTCTTTGAAAATATTATTACAATCAATTTCAAGTAGTTAAATAATATAAATGACCATACACTATCCCTCTTTCACTCTTGACCTTGCCTTATTTGATTTTATGTATGCTAAAAATTGAAACGTGAAACCATTAGCCTTTTTTATTGATCGTACTAGTGTACATGTTAGGCGAATTCCTAGTATTGATCTATCATCTGCTTGTTGTGCGTGTTTAACTAAGTGGTTTAGGTACAGGTAGTGATCGTTTATAAAATTAAAAAACCATCGAATGGTAACTAAAGTTATGATTACCCAGTTCTAAAATATTGATCGAATTATATTGATCAAACTGTAATGTGATCACTAGTTTAATTGGCTCGATATCACACATACTATTTTGAAATATGTGTTAGTTGGGATGAAAATTTGGAACCATTCTCTGCACCAGTTGGCGCTTGACCTCAAGGCGTACCTGCATTTATGAGAACAGTTGTATTTTCTATGAGACAAGAACTCGTAACACTCGAAATCCTAGTCTAACATGTCATCACTAAACTATTTGTGCAGTAACTAGCTTACATAAAACTGAGATATTTATAGTGGTTGATTACTAAATACTGAGTAGCGGTATGTTTGCTTAGTCCATAATGCTACTGATGGGTGTTAAATTACTTGACCTAGCGGCTACATAGCAACTTGGTCAACAGAATCCGATCAGTAATAAGGACTAGACAAATATGATACTATAATCAGAAATGGATGGTGGATAGAAACGTAATCCAGGACGCGCGTTTCGTCTTATTTGGGAATTGTCAGTTGGGTGTACATACATCCCAATGTCGATGTTTACTTCGGGACATATGCCAATAAGAGACTGGTCAATTGCGGTCCTAAACGTCAAAAGGAAGATTCAAACAACCAGTACAAGATGAGGTGAACATGATACTGGTTGCTATTTACTAATATATCTACGTAATATTTCCCGAACTCAACCATCACTGGTACTGATCGTTTTCAATTTAAAAATACTGAAGAAAAATAAGAATAAATGGGATGCAATAGACATCCCAATGTCGCTATTATTCAAAATGAAACTTAAACCAAGTACTCATCTTTTACATTAATTGTTAATATCCATTTTATAATCATCGTGTATTGATTCAAAGAATTCTTACTATCAGCGAAAACCGGTTGATTCAGTCTTTAATACTAACATTACAAATATATTTTTGTGTTTGATGTTCTACAACTTCAATTACTTCTCATTTCATCTTATTACGTTTCTCTCTAGCTATATTAACGATGTCAAGTGTGGCATCTTGAAGATGTAGATATATTTATTTAATGGCATCAATAATTTAGAACTAAAAGTACAGATGTAACGTAAAAAAACCATGAATTTAAATCAACAAACTTGAAGCAATATCGGAACATTCAATCAATGAATTCAAATGCAAACAAAGAGAGACGAAAGGAACTTATTCATGAAAAGCAAGACAAATGGAGTTTGGATATCTTTACGACTTATAATACAATAGACAAAGTATATACGTCTTTGCAGAACAGCTTATTGACTACTTCATGTATGAATCGTCAGTCAGGGACATAGATTATTGAAAACATATGTGACAATTTATAGTTTACTTTCAAAAGCATATTTTTATGTGTAGGTTGTGTTAGTCGGCATAAGGAACCCGAACTTCATAAATTTAAAAAAAATATCGATAGGCTTGAAACTGTAACACGTAAACGTCACAAAATCTTAGATATGTACATATATACATAATGGTCAAAATTACGTAATTGTTTAGGCATTAACTTAATAACAGAAAATTAGTTTAATCAATCTATTCAGACCATAATAAGAGATAGTCTGTGAAATTGTAAACCGTTATTGTTATTATTATTATTATCATGTACAATTCCTCCCATAGTTTTACATTATGAGTCAACCTAATCTGGACAAGCAATGGAAACAGAGAGTGCTGGATACTTGTTTTTTACTGGTCTTGGCTTTTTAGAAATCTTTTCACAATTTCAACAGGGGTGAAACCCAGTATGTCTATGCTTCAAAATGAGCATTATCTGACCATTGAGCTGAAACCTAGTGTTTTCACATTCTAAAATTCAAAACTCTGATGTCAATCAATAGATTTTTTATTAAATTTTCTTGAATAATTAATATTCTCTATTTCTTATGTTTATTTATCTTTAAGGAAGAAGGAATCAGCTGGATAATTATCGGTAACCACAGTATGTAATAAATTATAATTAGGTCAACATATAAATATATGCATGTTTTAGTTGCCAATCAATAGAAGTAGATTATCATTTATTAGATATAAAAGTAATTAAGACACTAAGTAGCCCAGTTCAGTTCAATGAAGTTGACTTTGAGTTGCACTTTACACGTGAGTCATAGTCTACGACGGTGTCCTATGCATCGTTTGAAAACAATTATATACTTACTCAACAGAGGTATTCCACTATGAAAATTGAAGACAGTTGACTGGGTCTCATGTGAAATTAGATAAAATAATACTTCTGTTTCACTATTTTACTGAAGCTCTAAAATACCAACACACGAAGCCTATAGATCTTGGCATTGGTACTGAAAAACTAATACGAAACGACCCTTTAGTATGCCTTGACTTTAAATGCTTTTCCAGGACAATGGTGTGTTTTTTAAGAAAATTACCCTCACATAATAATCAAAGTTCTTCACAAAGCCATTTCACTTTAAAATGATGATCATTTTATACAGTAGATGAGTGAAATGTTTTTTTTTTCTAAGTGAAATTAATAATATAAAGTTTGATGAGAAAGACGAACTTCGGCGACTTCTTGACTGGTCATGACAAGGCATCAATCAGTCGGAAAGCTGTAAGTATTAACGAAGAAATTAGGAGATGAAGCCAAAGAATTTTTGAAGGATATATCGATTTGATATAATTGATGAAATTACAAAGTTGGATATGAATTTTATACCCTTGGAGCACAGGGTAAAAATTAAAGTTTAAGGTTAGTTTATAAATACCCTAACCTCGTATTATAACGTTTACACTAATCCTAACCCTATACCTTATTCATAACTCTATTAATAACCTTAAATCCTAATTTTAACTTCCCTTCTAATCTCAAAAAACATTCTTGTATTTCCTAAAAATCACTAACGATGATTCCACTCTTGCACTCAAGGGTGAATGTTTTACCCGGAAATCTAGCATCTCGTAAGTACTTAATGATTCTGTTTTATTGAAATTTACCACCACGCGATCGGTAGTCAGTATATCGGTTTAATGTTTGCTCCATAATGTGAAAAGGGTCATGTTTGAACCTAATGGGTTTGAGATTTTAATAAAATTTAACCCTTTTAAGCTTTCAACAACCAGAGCTCATGTACATGGTTTCATTCACAATAATACTTCTATTCGGAATAATGACTATAGCATAAAACTTTGCCTGTACTGTCCGATTAAGGCTAAGAACCGGCAAAAAGACACTTATTATTATGCTCAGTGATCCTTTAATATTTGAACATTTCAGCTTTGGAGGCAATCACATGCCGAATAACTTAGTGATCACATTTCTGACTTGAAGGAACTAGTCCCTACATTGATTTCTTTAAGACTATAGATGTATTGTCGATAGTCACAACTTGCCAGAAATCATCACACATCTGACATCACAAAAACTGAGTCGAGCAATTTAATCATTTATCTCCTAGTTTTGCCACAACTTGATCAATATAATGTGATCACTGAAATGACAAAAACAAACATCGCACTGGTTACTACTAAGTGATTATTTGGTTTAAACTGTAGTTAGTTTGATTTAACTGAAGGGAATACGCTAAAATATTTACAGTTAAAAGACGTTTATTCATTTAAATCAATTTATTCATGTGAAATTAGCATTTTCTAAATGTTTTCAGATCTCAATATAAATTTATTTGAACTAAGAGTATACTCTCTACATTCTATTTGGGTTAAGTGAAGACTATTTCGAACAACATATATTTCCAATATTCTGATCATACCGTAACTTTTATGTGCTTTCTGTCGTGATACTGACGAAAATTTAAAATAACTAAACAATAGCGATAATTCTGAAACAGATAGAGAGCTTAATAAGATGCCAGTTCAATAGAATTCAAT